CATTGGATTCGGCAACTTACCAATTCATATTTTAATATTGCCCATATACCTTGAATGGTATTAAGTATAACTTGTATGGTACTGCCGTATTAGTTAACAATTGTATAAAATCAATAAAGTAAGAATGAAGTTTTGGAAATCGATATTCTTACATATTGTTAACGAGATAAATTTTTTATTGAAAGTAATATATGATAATTTTAATTTTTTTTTAAACCTAAGTAATAAATGGTTAAAAATATGTTTTAGTATTTTTTAAATGCACGCCGCTTATTCATTTGATATTTTTTTTAAGTTTTTTTTTTTTTTTTAAAAAATAATATTCAAAATTTAATAAAACCCACATAAAATTTATAGGTCTTGGATATTTTTATGTCGCAAAAATCAAATCATATCTATAAATAATTTATTTAAGTATTGAATTTCAAAATAATTGTTCTTTGTATTATAATTAAACTTCTAAAATAGATTTTGTTAAATTGAAATTTTTTTTTTTTATTGCTTTCTTCATAAAAAACTATTAAAATTTTTTAAATATAATCCGTCTTTATATCTGATCTATATCAGATTTCAATATATTAGGATGATTTACACATTTTTGAGGCACTTATTTTTAAAAATTTTTCTTGGTCACGAATATATCTGCAAAGAAAACTAGTTAAACCAAGGATTTCTTAGTTTTGCAAGGAGTTTTAAATTAAGTGATGATTTTCAAATGTTGAGACTTTTTTAATTCTAGTATATTTTTTTAATCAATTATTTCTAGATATATAAGATTTGATTAAATAATTTTGAACTTCATAACCAAGTTATAGTTAATGATTTACTTAAGTAACAAAAGAGCTTTTGTAGTCTTATTTGCATGAAAAGGAATCAGTTAGGACGTATGCAATATAAACAGAGATAAGTACAAATTATTAAGGGAGTTCGGTCTTATTACAGTAGGTAATTTTACTTATTTTTATTTACGTGAGTGTCTTTACTTTGTGTTTTTTAATCTTTAAAATTCAGTGAATTGTATTAATTAAAATTTTACCTAGTATAAACGAAAGATATAATAATTGTATGTATAATGATACACCTAAATGATATATTTATTATTAAATGATAATAACAATACATTTATCGATACTATTCAAGAAATAATAACTTTACTTCAAGTCGATAGAACATTGCCCAAAATTGTATAAACGATGTAAAACCGAAAGAAAAACTTTTCTATATAATTCAGAAAATGCTGTTTAATATAATGTATTAAAAAAACTAGCTATTTTAGGTGATATTACTTAATATATTTATGACAGTATACATTTATAAAAATAACGAATTTTACTTTTATTCTTTTATTTTCTATAGTAAACATTAGAACTGAGATTTTAAATTCAGTGTTGCAATTTATTTAAAATATTTAATACATGTTTTAAAATGTAAAAGAAAAAAATTTTTGTAGATTCATCTGGTAGATTAACACTAAGCATTTAGAGAAAATACTTTTTGGAAGCAAAAATTATATAACTTTATATTATTAGTGAAACACACTAATATTGCGTTTTAGTTTTTTATATTTATAATTCTGAAACTTGTTGAGTTATAATCGACTAAGTATATATAAGAATATCTGATTTAGTTTGGCTAGAATTGCATTAAGAAATAAAATATCAAATAGAATTATCATATAAAAACTTAGTAAAATAACATTTACTTTGAAATATTTTTGCATTCATAGTCATAATAAAATAAACATTTGATAGTTATGTATAAGAATAAATACAATTTAAACAAAGAAACACCATTTAATTTTGCAGGAAATTTGTTTTGATTCAATTTTTGACATCATTCATTGTCATAATAATTATGTAATAAATTTAAAAAAAATAATTATTATTCTTTTAAATTTAACATAATGCTTTATTTTGAAAAAAATAAACTACTTAAATTACAGACAATTTTACAGACTTAAGTCTCTAAAGATTTATAAATGTGAAATTAATTGGAAGCTCTCATAAATAATATAAATATTAGGAATGCAATTACGAATAATATATAAGAAAATATATTAAATATATTTAATCATCAAACGGATTTTGTATTTGCCTCAAAAAGTATTAAAAATATTGAAATCATCAACATTGTTACTGAAAGTAAATATTTTTTTCTTAGTTATAAGTGATTCTTAAATCAATTAAACAATAATAATTACAAATTTATCCAGTATTAACTATTTAAAACATGATAAAAATATAATAGTTTATAACGTAAAATTATATTTAAATACGTTATAGTTTAAGTACTACTACTTAACATTTTGATGAGTTTAATTCCAACTCTGTTCCGAAACTTCTAAATTATTTAATAACTAATAATTTTTTCTCTCATAAAAAACATTATATTGTTGTGGTTTGCTAAAGATTTATTTAAAATTTTATAATTAAGTTTAAACCCAATACAATTAAGGTTAATATATTTGGTAATGTGATTAGTATATTTTTTACAAAACAAGTATTGTTGATAAACATAAAAGTATACTTTTATGATGGATTTGCTTTGTCACGAACGAAATTAAAAAATAATTGAAACTTAACTATGCCAAGTACATCGATAAAAAAAAACGAACCATTTCTGAAACACAGTAAAGTTGTTTACGGCGTTTTTTATAGCTTGTTTAAAGAGGTATTGACAAGTCGTTGGTTTTATACTGTACCTGTGTATCAATTTTATTGCCATCAGTTTTTAATTTTATGTTTACAATACATAAATGTATCTACGCCTGCAAATAAAACAATATAATTTAAAATATATATTTATTTACCATGGTTGTTAAATATTGTTATTGCTACTACGAACATACATTATTATGGTTTACGAGCACAGATTCGCTGTAGTAATCATAAATTAGAATCTCAAATTTGTTTCCGATCTTCGATTAACTCGACTAGGAGATTTCGTGCGACTCAATAGACTGATAGTTAGTTGTTATACATAGTTTATTTTAATCCTAGGTTAGCCCTTTGGTTGACTTACACGGAACTTTTGTATTTTAATCATGCGTGTATTTTTAGTCGGAACTTGTATAGTTAAAAAATTAAAACTATTGCATTTATTAAATTAATTTCCATTGTTGTGATTCTTTAATGTTATTATTCTAAGGCTACTGGTGTTTTTCTTAGAATTATGTGGATTAATACATATATTTATGTACGCGATATATACATATGTTATTATTATAACGTATTGCTGTATCGTCTTACCCGCTAAAGAAAAACATTGCTCGCTTCGCTAACAATATGCCTTGTTTATTCTGTTGATATTGGTCGTCGACCAGACACACGTTACAAGTTTAACTTCTAAACATAATATTGTTTTTATTAATATGTTCGGACGCTGTTTTATTGTTACAATATTAGTAATTTAAGATTTCTGTGGTTTTGTTTTTATAAAAGGTAGATTTAGCGGGATTTAACCATTTATAATTAAATACCGATTTCAAACAATAATTAACTGACACATTTTTATTGGGGCTTAACGATATATGCGATTTTATGATATTTCCATTACAAAATGATAGCTAGGAAAATTAATATTAAAATATTAAAATAACCTTTTAGTTAATTATTTATAAAAAAGATAAAATCAACTTGTACAATTTTGTTATCTGTAAAGTAATCAATCTTAATGTACATTCAGTATAAAATGTTTTACAGTGCTGCATACTTTTCGAACAATGATCCGTACGTTCGTATATTTTATTACATCACATTTTAGTATTTTGCAACATAGTAGTATATTTAGATCACAATAATATTTCTATTCGACCGAATAATATTTTTTTGTCTTTTTTCTTCGAGTAACTAATTTGTTATTCCACGAGTGTAGAATATTTTTAAAACATTTTTAACCGAAAGCTAACAACGTATGTAGTATAAAATGTATTATAACTAAGAATTTATTTGAGCACTTAATATTAAACTTGTTGACTGTTATTTTGCTATATGATTATGAGACTGTTGTATACGTTGATGGCGCTATGCTAACCATTAGAAACAATTTATCTACTTGAACTATTTGGACAGGTAAATAAAACTGCCACGTTCAAGAAATCACACATTTTAAAATATGAACATAATTTAACACTAAGTTTGGGTGCGTAATTGCATACGATTTGTCAGATTTTAAAAAAAGTTTGTTTATTTGATGGTTGTATAATATTTTCGTTATATCATTAGCGATATCGACTTCTAGTGAATAACTATTGGAAATTTGGACGTAGCAGAAAAAATACACGTGAACACGAGTAATAACCTAAAGGTTTTTTTTTTTTTAAGTATTCTCCATGGTAAGCGCATAGGGTGCGAATTTAACAGACACGTGTATCGTAGTAATTTAGTGCGTATTATACAAGTGTTTCCCGAAGATATATCCATTGCGTATCCCTTGAGATATTGAAGATACTACAATTAGGTTTTTTATATCACTCACAAACTTATTTCTATTTTTATACTTTGGTAAAAATTTGTTCCTTTTTAACTTTTTATTTATTATTATTTTTTGAATAATTCGAGGAATATTTCATCATTGAATGAAAGTAAAAAGTTAATGTGTTGAAATCAACAAAATAATTAACTGAACCAAACGGCTATCTCCAAATTTTTAAAAAGTAATAGTATATAAAGTAATTTTTAAATTTTTTTTATCGAAGTACAAAATTTAATGATACTGTGATACGTGTTAAAAATCACAACTGTAATACTTGCATTGTCTTAGGAGATAGCGGTAATGGGTGTATCTTCGTGGGGCGGCACCCTGTATTCGTGTTCCTATTGTGCGGACGAGGCGTGGGCTTACTGTGCTTGGGTTCGAAAAGAAAAGTGTGTAAAATGTGTTCAAGCATACAACTCTACGGGCGTCTACGTCTCAACCGGTTCTCGGCGATGGGGACTCGTGCGTGGAATTTACCTGGAAGGGATGCAGCGAAAATAAGTTTTACCATATAAATACCGAGCGCTCGGTCTGGACATTCATCAGTTCGTTTTTGCACCGCAAATCCGTCGACAATATTTTACCGAACAACGACCAATCAACAATAAACAAACAAAAAAAAAAATGGCCGCTAAGGTAAGTCTAAGTCGTTTCCGTTATAAGTCTGAAAAGTTTATTCTCTCTAAAGTGCGAGCAACTTTTCCGTCGAAAAGACCTTAATAGGGTCCGACCGGAAAATACCGCAGTATTTTGTTTTTCGGCCATTTAAAACACATGTTTTTTTCTATTCCGCAGTTGATCATTTTCGCCGCTTGCGTGGCCTCAGCTCTCGCTCAATACTCCGCTCCAGCCTATAAACCAGCCTACCCAGCACCCGCATACCCAGCACCTGCTTACGCCGCACCGAAGGCCTACGCTCCGGAACCCGCCTACCCACCAACCCCGTACAACTTCGAGTACTCCGTAAACGATCCACACACCTATGACGTCAAGAGCCAACAGGAGTACAGCGACGGCAACGGTTACGTCAAAGGATCGTACAGCCTGGTTGAACCCGACGGTTCCACCCGCGTGGTCGAGTACACCGCCGATGATTACAACGGTTTCAACGCCGAGGTGAAGAAAATCGAAGGAGGATACAAGGCCCCGTACAGCGCACCAGCTTACAAACCAGCGTACGCCGCCCCGGCTTACCCGGCCCCAGCTTACCCAGCACCGGCCTACAAACCAGCCCCGTACAAGCCAGCTTATTAATCCGTCCCCCGGCACGTTTGGGGACTATTCGTAAACGGCTTCAGGGTCGTCCTCTTCTCGCGCACTGTCCGTCTTTCAACGATGTGATTCGCTGTACCACTGTGTCTACCACTGTTCTCGCGGTGGCCGGCGAGCAATTCGTCAGCTCATCCCTTCTAATGTTGTAATTTAGTCAAATGATTGTGTACATTACCGTGTAAATAAATCACTCATCGTTTCATCCAAATATTGTTATGGTTTTTATTTTTATTTTTCGTACTTACCACTGTATTCTTATGCTTTATGATAGTAATTATGTAACATATAAAATGTCAATGCGTCTCTTGATTAAAAAAAAAAAAAAAAAAAATAAAGAAAAACCAAATGTTGGGCATCCAAACAATTTAACAATTTGGTAAGTTGTCATAAATAATAAACGTTACGTAATATCGTCCATTACTTATGGATAATTTAAATCTAAATATTTTATCGTAAATTATGGATTATCGTTGTCCGATAAAAGGCACTAAAAATATTTTAACAACTTTTCTATTATAATTGGGAACAATGACATTGTACGCCTAATCAATAAGCGAAATATCCACTGTCATTAATCATTATATTTTGACTAACAGTTGGACTATATACGGATTTAAAGATGCCGAGAAAAGAAAAACAAAAAAATAGAGTTAAATTTTTGTTTTTTTTTTTTTTTCATTTTTCTTTATATTTTTTTCTGCGAGGTTGATAAATCGACAATCTCTTCGAGTTTAGGTGTCCACCATCGTTGGTGTTTTGTTCTTCAAAATGATGGATTATTTAAAAATGCACTGTACACATGACAAAATAACACCTATAGGTACAGAAATATTAACAGTCATTCGGTACATTTGTCGTAATGGTGCATATTACACCTTTAAAATGTTTTGCAAACAAATGTTTGTTTAAACAGATTCGGCTTACAAAAGTTTTTCAGTTATGTTCAACTCAAATAAAGTTCTGTGTTCTGCGTAAAGCCTTTGATCGGTTTTCTTTGATCATAACAACTAGTAAGAGACTTTCATTTAGACCATAATAGAATCTCGAATTTATAATTATAAATCTTTGTCCTTGTAATGTAATTATTACAAGGCCGATGCTAATGGCATATTAAAAATTAAACGATTTTCACAGGACACATTTTTTTCTAACATAATCGTAATAAATTATATATGTTTTTACAATGAAATATACCTTAGATGGTTCAGTAGTTTATATTTTATTCAGTTAATATATAATATTAAATTTTATTTCTTGAATCACCTCGCAAAATATTTCAAAGAATTATTTTTGTTGGAATTATTGTTTTTCTGGTCGAGACTTCGTTTGATGTGTAATTAAACATATTTTAAAAATATCATAACTTAATTTAACTAATTAAATAATTATTGAAAATCTCATACAGTCTAAAATTCCTAAGTGTCATTTAAATAAATTGTTTTACTCACCTGCGTAGAATAAGTTATCATAATCTAATCATAAATTTAAAACCCATGAAAAATAATTATCTTCAACATATAAACAACTTTGCATAAAATCTGATTACTGATTTGTGTGTTTAATATTTTAAATCCTCGTAAAAATAATTTACGAGAGTATGTTTTTAAATGCATTATACATGTTTATATATATATGTATACATCGAGTTATAAAAATTATTTATGTAATTCAGTATTTAGTTTTAATCCTAATACTCAAAACTACAATATTGTTAAAAATTAAAACTAGTAAAAATAAAAATAATTCATTTTTCTTTACACAAAATTATTTATATCAATATAGTTATAATTTGTTTTATACAGAATTAAGCAAATAATCAGTAAACGTTTAAATTTCTTAAGATTATTAAAATGCCGTAAAAACAATGTAAAAAGTTTTTTTCAATTCAAGTTATGTATACGGGTATATATTTGCAAGATTTTTTTTTTTTTTATCTCAATTTAATTACGGAAATTAACGATATGGATGTAGTTAGTAAGAGAATGGATAATAGGAGTAGAAAGAGATTTGAGAAATAGTTTTAAATCGGTATGGATATAGCTAGAAGAAAAAATGTATGAAAAAAGTAGCTTTTTGTTACAGTGAAGAGTACGGCAACAGAAAATAATATGATCGAAGTTGCAAAAATAGTTTGTTCATGGTGTCGGGTAGAGCACATAAGAGAGAAGAATTTAATTTGAGTTTAAATGTTAGAAGAAAATTAAGTATCCTTTTCGAAGGCGAGTATAGTTAAAATATTATATCTAGAGATTTCAAGGTCTTTATACTATGGATGAGAGGGAATAGTGGAAATATGCACCAATGCCATGTAGTAAAATTTCATGGTAGAAGACCCATTTAAATCACCACATATTGCGTAGCAGTTTGTGGTGGAACGGAATGAAGTCAGATGCAGGCAGTTAAGGAGGAGAAGGATTGATCGGTGATTTGTTTGAGAATGCTAAATCATTACCAGCGACACCAACGTGGTTAGGAGCCTAAAAGAAAAATTATTTATTTACTATCGAGGCTAAGACGATAAACTAAGAATTTGATAGTAAATATGAGGGAGTGCGAATTATTTGAGAACAATGAGAATTAAAAGAGTCAGATTTGATGGTAAGGAAACATGATTAGAAACGGTGCCGGTTATATGAGGAGGAAATGTGTATCCTTGTCCCGGGAGTTGTTGGTATAAGGGTATTCTTAAGTTTATGAAAATAAAAAAAAGTCACGAACAAAAAATATGTATAAATTATAACAAAATATAATAGGTATTACATAGTAATTTGGTTTTTAACACGCAGTTGACATACAGTAATCATAGGCGCAGCTAGAGCTTACATTTTGGAAGGGGTATAAGTACCAAGAAAATACAGACTCGCAGGGAATACGTAATCTATAACCCCATCTAATAATTTAAATACAGAAAATATTTGTCACTAATCATTATTAGTGGTTCAGTTCAAATTTCAGTAAAATACGAAAAAGTGCGCTTTTGTGAATAGTATTTTATTTTAAATATTCCTAAGTAAAACGAAAACAATAATACAGTAAAATCCACTTAATAAAATGTCTTATGAACGATATTACAGGTAAAACGATATATTCAACTTTGAGTTTGTTTCGAAAACAGATTGTTTTTTTTATTTTTTTATCGAGTATTTTTTTTTAGAAGCAAATATCAAAATAATAACATGTAAAAAATTTTTTTTTTTAACACGAAGCACAATTCAAATTTTTTTTCAAATTAATTTTAAATTAATGCCAATTAGTAGTACGATGTTAAAATTTTTAAATTCTTAAAATTATTAGAATTTTAGACATTAATATTTACATATTATCAATTCTCTCCAATGGTATGGTAACATGATCAGATCTGTTGTATTTTGGAACAATAATTTAATGTTAACCGTTTTGTTTACATATAATAAGACTATTTATAGTTATAGATTATTTAATTCTTAAAAAATTTATTTTTTTTTATGTTGTATAATACATGGAATTAAATTAAGGAGATGTAAAAAATTTCATACATAGGAATATAATATTCGTTATAATACTGTTTTTTTTATGTGTAAAAAAGTAACAAAATATTAAGTAACATTAAGAATATTTAATTTCACAATGTTAGATGTACATAAAAGTTTTATACTTTTAATATTTTTAAGTTTTAGATCTAAATAATTGGCTGTATTTATGGTTGTAAATTACTAAATCTAAGCACGAAAGCAATCGTTAAGACATACATGTTTTACTGCATAAATAATCATTCATAAATTAAAATAAGCTATTATGTTATGATTTATAGTCATTTCATTTTATGGAAAATTAATAACCACACGTTACCTATTGACGTTTGTATTTTATTATTTTATTTAAATACTAGTTTAGTACATGTAATGAAACTGTTAACATGAAATTTGGCAAATAATAACGATATTAATTGCAACTCGCGGCAAATGTGAAATATTGACGATCGCTCAAGAATTAAATAATTACAAAAATTATATTAAATGCAAATATTAAATGATTTAAAAGTTGCATTAAAATTTCATATTCCATTCATTTATATTTATTGTTACAACACATATTTTGTGTTTAATTAAAATGGATCCTTGAATGCAAATCGTGGTTTTAGAAGTCTATTAACTGAAATGGGTTGGTCAAAAATGAAATCATTAAACCATCATAAAGTCAATACATCACAAAGTACGAGATGGTAGAATATAATATAAGGACCTCCTGACCTGTAACCTTTCGGATGTAAAACATTAATTTCCAATGAATTATTATTCACCGATATAAGGATCATAGTGTGTATTCGATTGTATCAAGAGAAAATTTATAATATGTAGGTCATTGTTGGAATAGATTAAATCTGAGAACTGTAAAGTTATTGTTTCGACGAAATTAGCATAAATTTTATATAACATATTTTTCATTTTTAACGGGCGCAAACGTTTGTAGTAGAGAACATGTATATACAAACATTATTGATACGTAATATATTTTTAATCAATAAGAATTATCGATAAGAAAATAAACTGCTCTCGAATAATACAAACAATGCTGTTAGGTTAGGTTAGTTTAATTTGTTAATTCAAATTTTTGATATCAAATTCGAAAACTAAAAACGTTCAAGACCGAATCGTACAGGACAAATGAGATATTTCAACTACTTATCTAATTCAAAATTTAATTATTGTGATAGGTCTAAAAATATCAGTATAAAATGAGACCAAATATTTAGTGGATAATTTTGAAATAAAATTATAATGTTAAATTTATATTATTTAATTAATTATTTAATATTTAATTACATTTTTAATGTTTATGATGAAGCATCTTCTTTCAAAATACCACGCAGATAGTATTTTAACTGTATGCACTTTAGACTAGTATTTAATACTTCTTTAAAGTATTTTCATGGGTATCAGGTACTATAGATTTTATTTATTATTCACTCCTATTTTTTTGGAATAAAAATACATAAAAATAATATATTTCAGTTAAATATATTATCACTACGATTCACGGTGATATTATGTAATAATTAGATCATTTTTATTTTCGACAGTAGAATGCAGATATAAATTCGTAGTTTAGAAATAAGGGCTCTATTATCCTTTTTTTATAATCTCAATATGAATTGTTGACAGACTGTTATCAAAATAAAACAATTCATGTTTGGCGTTAGTACTTTTAAAACTGTTAGACAAATTTAGACATTTGCCAGACCTTGAGTAGACCACACGTAGACGTACGATCTATGATTTTTATAAACAATCGTGTTATTTGTAAGAGCATTTAAGAAAACAAATGCGATTCGGTTTCAAAAATAAATAAAAAATTCGACCGTCGAAGCATAATCCGTATTAATATTCCGGCTTACCGGTTTTCAAACTATTAGTGTCCGAATGAAATAAAAAGTTTTGATTGATGTGATTGAAAAACAGACGTACATATTATTAAACCAACTCGTTAAGGAATAAATCAAGATCATTAGGGTTCGATAGAGTATAATATTGTGTAGTAATTGTGTGACGTGTCAAATGTTTACTGTCTGTAAATCGATACATATATCAATAAATGCACGTTGTAAACGGTTATTAAGCGAACGAAAATGATAATTTTTAAATATTACATAATGCGAATGTTCATTAAAAAGACATAAACCGGTATTAGCGGGCGTTGGGCGCGCGCGTGGTTCCACTGACATTGACCCAATAAACATTACAAAGTAGTGTAGCACAAATGCGGTAATACAGTTACCTATTAATACAGTTATTCTTTCGTTTTTTCCCTTTCTTCTTGATCTCCATACATTCCATTTCATTATTCAACGGCATTAAATAATCGCATGTTATATTAGTACTACACGTTTATTATAACATTACACGGTTCGTAAACAGTTCCACGAGGGCTATTGTAATAGATCTCTGGATCGATTTATCGAATGATTTACGATTAGATTACGTGGTGGGCGTCACTAATAATGTACGCGCGCGTGTATTGTGCTCTGTGATGGTTAACAAATAATAAATAAATAATATACAAACACGAGTGCGCGAGCGCACGTGCATAAATTAAAAGTAAATTATACTGAAAAATGAATTCTCCAAATCGCTTTAGTGCACTAGAGCGCTGCATCGATCGATAATGTGATATTAATACTGTGCACCTACGCTTTTTCTGACTGGGTGGAGCTAGTGAACTGAGTAATAGAAAGAGAGAGAGTGAGTGAGTGAGTGAGAGAGAGAGAGCGAGAGAGAGAGAAGGATCAGTGAACTGCAAGAAAGGCGTGCTTGTTATGAATTACTCAATACAAAAATATGTTTTAATTAAAACAAGTGCGTGTTTTATTTGATGGTTACTATTTTATACATAATTATTTTTACCTCCTACATTTAGATATATTTCGTACCTGTTACGAAATGCTAACGTTTGTTTCTTTCGTTTAGAAAAATATTTCGCGTAAAATTTGATCTTTGTGGATTAAAAAAAAAAAAAAATTAAAAAAAAAATAAATACATTTGATGTTTAATAATTAGTAAATATGAATATAAGGTTGTATTTCCCTATATAGATATATAGGTGAAATGTTAATATTAATTTGCTTTATCTGTAAAATCATTGCATTAGAAATTGCACAACATTATCTTAATACTTGATGTCTTGAACGGCATACAAAGTAATATTTTCTGTTCAATAAGACAGTTGCCTATGTGAGATTACTTCTTTTTATTTCCAAATGAAAGTGGTGTGCTCGAATTTCATAACGTGGCAATGAAATACTTTGAACTATATTTGTTTTTAAGAGTAAAAATCAAAGGTTTTTTATTTCCCTTCACAGTATCAATAACGATTTAATGTTATTGATAATATTTTTTTTTCTGAAATATCCATCTGCTGCTTTTTATTAAGCATATAGGTAGATATTTAATAAATGGCATAGTTACAAAAATAAAATTATGTTATTTTTTGATTAAAATATGGAAACCTATCATTACATATTCACCGACCTATAATTACACGTTGAACAATTCTTATTTAAAATTTAATTAATTAAACGTTTGATGTGTGGGTGATGATAAATAAAATGCGAAACCACGTTCGCACCTACTAATGAATAACGGAAATGTTATTATCTCTAACCGATATCAGTACGTATCTGGTGCGTTATGGTGATGTGATCGATTGTCTCGATTATATTATAGTATAAAACAAACACAACAAGGCAAATCGTCAAATCATTGTGAGGCAACACTGATTATCATATCGTTACATTGTTGAGATTCAACAAAGTGATGTTGCGTCCACGTAACCTGTTTGCGAAAACAACATAAAATTCGATGTTGCAAAAGGAGCGCACCGCCGATGAGGGTGAAACGTCAAAAGAACAATATAACATGGTTGTGATGATATCGAACTGTATATTATTTACATATGATAGGTACACGAGTTATAATGTACAATAGGACGTCAATAAATAGTGTGCACGACGAGCTTTGCGTGTAGGTGCAGCAGCGCGAGTCCGTCGGTCGTGGGTCGGACGCTCAGCTGCGGTGTTCGGCGGCCGTTCGAGCCGTGGGGCGGGTCAGAAGAATCAGTACGCCTTGTACGGGGCTGGCTTGTAGGCCGGTGCTTGGTAAGCGGGTGCCGGGTAGGCCGGGGCGGCGTAAGCGGGTTTGTAGGCCGGGGCCGCTTTGTAGGCTGGTGCGCTGTACGGGGCCTTGTATCCTCCCTCGATTTTCTTCACTTCGGCGTTGAAACCGTTGTAGTCGTCGGCGGTATACTCGACCACACGGGTGGATCCGTCGGCTTCGACCAGGCTGTACGATCCCTTGACGTTGCCGTTGCCGTCGCTGTACTCGGACTGGCTCTTGACGTCGTATGTGGACGGGTCGTTTACGGAGTACTCGAAGTTGTACGGGGTCGGTGGGTAGGCGGGTTCCGGAGCGTAGGCCTTTGGTGCGGCGTAAGCGGCTGCTGGGTATGCGGGTGCTGGGTAGGCTGGTTTGTAGGCCGGGGCGGAGTACTGGGCGAGTGCGGTGGCCACGCAGGCGGCGAAAATGATCATCTGCAAAACAAACAAATATCGTTACGTTACGATATACTGTGGTGAAACGCCGTGGACAAGACCCAATGCCCTGGATCGGAGAAAAATCTCGTTTCGAGACTGTTCAACACCGCGATTTAAATGTGGTTTTCGACACGATCGAGAACGATTTCTGTTCAAAACGTGTTATCGCGTGTCATGTACGCGCTGAGCCCGTCTCGAACAGGTTTCGTTTTGACCCGAAATGTAGAAGTTATTATTGAGCAAAGTCACTCCGAATCGGTGTTAACGGCAAGTTGGAAATGTTTTTTTTTTTTTTTTTGCTTATCGAAAATTCACCCAATGTGTATTAATATTTGATTACGTATGATATTTACCTTGGTTGCCATTTTGTTGTTTGTTTTGTGTTTTATTGAAACCGGAGTACTTCGTGTACCGTAGACGAGATCGGTAAATGATGCCTGTGTGGACGGTGTTCGCAGTATTTATGTTGCAGGTTCGGAGTTCCTTTATTCCCTTCCAGACGTATCGATTCCCGTGACAAACAGGCACTTTCAATATGGCACAAACCGGTTGTGCCACGTACGGAATCATTTCCCATGCCAAGAATTTGTCGCGTAAAGGGGAGAAACATCAAGGACACGTTTGTCTATTCGGGTTAATTTGGTATTAAGAAAAAAAAAAAAGAAAAAAGTTTACCTTGCATTTTTGCCGACTCAGACCAATTGAACATTTGTTTCCAAACGATTTAAATTATATGTTATTCGGTAGTTACAAGTATTGTGTTAACGCGGTGTGTTGCATTGTAGTGTATGCGCGTCAATTATGTATTGTGAGTGCAGGAAAATTATTTCAAGAAACACGTATTTTCGCTTGTCATGATATAATAATCGTATTTAGAGTGTGAGTTATGATTAAGAGTTAAATACAATTGAACATCAACAGTGTAAGATTATAACGTTCGATTAGATATAAAATAATTTAAATATTTTGCTTAAAACTGTTTCGAATATTACACAGAATATATACATATATTGATATAGGTTTTATTTAATATTTTCTTCTAGTTCGAAGAAAAAATATTATTGTTCTGTTCGTTTCGTAATGATAAGAATTGGTACTAATTGGTACGTCAAAAACAGGTAAAATGTACAGCACACAAACTATCGAATTAATCAAAGGTGCCTGTACCGCAAAGGGTATTTTTAAATATAAAATTGAGGGCCCGACATTAATAGAAGTAAAAAAAAGTAATTCTGTGACTAAGCAGCAAACAATTAAAGCTAAAAATTTAATAAAAAATAACAAAAAGTCTCATTGACTGCATACGTATGCAGTACGTAATGCGTACGCATTATACAATACGCATATAAAAATGCATCGAATATGTATTGATGGTGTTTAGTATTGCGCGTCTATTGTGTCTTATATAAGGTAAAACTGCAGTATTATAATTATTTGGAAAACCAATCATCATAATTCAGGATTTAGCTTGAATATTTGAGTACATTTTTTTTTCTATAAATTCAAAATTATCATTTTATCATGTTACGTGATGATGATATTTTAAAATAAAACATTTTGTAATTTATTCAATTTTCAAAGAAGCAAATTCATAATACAAAGAATATAATAAATTTGAAAAATTGTATGTTTCTATGAATCATTTAGAAAAATTAGTGTAAAATATGTTATTACATCTCAACAAGGTTTAAAAGCCCCATAAAATTATTCAAATAAGATTTTTACAAGATCTAGTTATGGTGCTTATTACGAATCGTATTAAAATACATTTTATTCTTTTAAGAAAAAAAAAAATAAACTACTAATGAAAATAAGTTTTTTTAATATTATTATTTTTTTTTTCGTTAATAAATTTAATACTGTTTCAATGCGGTATTAATAACTTTATTGCAAATGTTATCGTATAATAGAATAAATTAACTTTAGTAAGGTTAAAATCACATTACATTTAATTAGTTTGTGGGATCACGACCATGATATCGTATTGAGTGTATCTCCATTTTAATCACCACTGGTTTGGATTTATTTTTAATTATCTAGTAGTATGTCTACTATTCCATGGTATAAATAACATATTGACATTTGACTTTATATTTATAATAGTAATATTCAATTATAATGTACGATCTGATTGATTTATTATTATTATTATTGTTTTGTTTAGTCGTAGACTGTTTTTTATTCATTTAGATTCTAGCTTTTCCAAATTTTATAAAATATCTATAATACCTATATTATTTATTAGCAAACATAATAAAGAAATGGTGTTTTGAAATAAATTTTAAAAAGCGATTTAAGTCGAAAATGACTGAGATCACTACTTTATCAGTAATATTACCACATTAAATATAGGAACCACTGGTTAGCTTAAATGTATTCGTATACTATGTTATGATCGATTAGATACACAAAAAAAATGTAAATGAAAAAATAGTGTAACCACTTTATTCATCTAGGCTATAGTAAGAATTTAAAATATATTTTATAGGTTATAAATTATAAACCGCATCTCATTTGGAAAACTAATATGAACGGTTTCGATTCAATTTAACATGAACACAATATTTTTTTTTAAAGTTTTATATCCAGTCAGCTTATGGTATATATTAATTAAAAATATTATACTGTCTTTTATTTTATCAAATTATATTAGAATCATTTCGATACGAAATATTTAATTTTTTATTGGTACCGTTTTTTCTCAAAATTCGAAATTAAATATTTTTTCGTGCTAATTTATCAATAATAAAACATTTTTAATTACGTGGATTACATATTGTGATATAATATCAATGATTTTCAATGAATTAATATTTTTTATAATCTATTTGTAAATAAAATTACATTAAAAACCTTTCGATAATTGGAGCATAATCTCGTTTAAATTAATCTATAGATTATTATAATAAAACGTTAAAAACTGTTAAAAATCAATGTTTGTACACCAAGTAAGATGCATGAAATTTGTACGGTGTATGTAATATTTATACGAGTATTTAAACGAATTGTAATAGTTGTTAAATTATCATTAAACAATTTTTAACGAATTCAACTAAAGTAGATGTTTGGATGCTACTTTTTACAGGATAAGTAATATAGGAACAACCATACTTTCTTTGTTAAACGGTCAAGTATTACATGTTATCAGCGGTGTTTGAATATCAATATTTATTTTCAAATATTAAGTGATCAATTGGGTGTCATTCTATGTACATATTTTTCGTTCTGCAATAAATATTGTTAAAGTTTTATTATTATTTACAATAATTTTGTAATACTATTTTGTTACACAGATATATTATATATATTATTATAGTCTCATAAACTTGTTTTGTTATAGGGAATACATAATACCCACTAATGTTAACACGTTTTTTACATAATATATTACTATTTTAAAAAAAATAAGCATTTTTCGCGCGTTAAAATTATTTGATCTATAAATTTGCGAGGGCCGTAGAAAAGGGCGGGATACTATATTAAATAATTTGGTATATATTATTGTGTTATTAATAGTACTGCAAATGATGCGTATTTTTATAAATTTCTCAAACAAAAGAATTACATTTTATAAATCATAATTTTTTTTTTTTCATAATCATTTTATAACTTTTTACTTAGAATTTTACATTTTTAATTAGTTTAAGGCCCAGATTTACTATAGTTGATTTTTAAATGATTTTCAATTTAATTACAAAATATAACGTACACGGACGCATTTCTAAATACTTTCATTAGTTTCCAGAACCTCTGAAGTCATAATAAAAAATATGAATCTTACAACACATTTTAAAATGTTCGCTTCCGATTTGTATTCTTTGTATAATAATACATTTAAATGTGTATTTATCTTACATAGTATAGTACTTGATTAATATATTTGGCTAAGTTAACTCTTATTTTAGATATACTGTATGTTGGATAAATCATTTAGGATTGACTACTAACATAATGTTAACTTTTAATTTTTGGTGGTTCTCAACAAATTATACATATAAAAGTTGTGATATTATAATTGTAGTAAAATATTTTTTGTCGTTGTGTTAATAATTTTATTTAAAATATGGGATTTATAAAATTAAATTTGTATACAAAATATTTATTTTCAACCATTTGATTACATTTGATTGATGAGTTTCCAGAATCCGAGTATTCAAAATCTTGTGCAATGTCGATAATATCAGTAAAATTACGAAAAATTAGGAATTTAAGAAAACGTGATAAATATTTTCAAACTGTTACACGTTTTTATAAATATTGATTTAAGTTTTTTATAAATAAGATAATTTTAAAATCCATATGATTGCCCCAATATTAGATAGCTAGACAAGAAATTATTAAATAAGAGGTGTGAGCGTAAAAATGCTTATTTTAATGTCTTGTGGAATAAAAAAAAAATCGTATATTATTTATGTAATTGTATAATTATTTTATTGAGCACGACTTTTTATCAAACCTGAATTTTCTATAAAAGGTATTTTTCAAAAAGTATACTCGCCATTGCTAACGAAAGAAAGATTAAAACTTCAATCCCATGTGTATAAGTATCGTATAAGTGTCCAATGCAAACTGGATCAACTACAAATTAATTTATTATTCTCCGTAGAATGCTGGTTGAACATTTGAAACGAATTCATATTTATTAATGCAGGTACTGTTAGTTTTGAGTTTATGAAAGTTGTCGGCTACTTTGACTGTTTTGATTGTTACGTTGCGCAGTCGTTTACGTTGTCGTACAAAAGAAAAAAAAATAATATAGAATATATTATTTAACTGAGAAAACACGTCATATGACGGCCGGACAATGTCGCAGGAACGGTTTGATTCAATATTTCTAATCGGCAAGTGTTCGACCGGTGAACGTGGACCTTGACCATTATTAAATTTTCAATGATAACATGCCATGTGAATACGATTTATTCGGATTTATTGCAGGGCGTTCGAATATCAATATTGATCGTGACAAAATAATGCACCCATTTAAAATGGCCTCTGAAAATTAGCCGAAATCTTTATTTGAAACGTTTCTATCTACAATATCGGAGTTTTTGCTGTGCAGCCATACACGCGTGTGCTGTACCTATTGCGAACGTTTCAGAAGTATGCGTACTCAGCGAATATACTATTGTGATACCGTTCAGTTAGTCGTTACGTTACGTTGTACTTGACGATGTCATTTGACATGATTTGTCAAGTTTGTGCCCATTGCACGTCCTAAGAGGATGAGCGATCGAATGGGTTTATGGAGATCTCGATCGTTGAGGTGATCTTGTTGTTGTAAAATTTGAGAGCTCTGCAAAATGTATGTTTATAAATCGGCGTAAGTAATATTTACGTTGCGTTCTCGCCAATATTATACGTACTATCCAACTCGATTTTTTCAAGGTGGAATGTACTGGCGATTGGCGATTCACACGATTGGGGTTACGTCGAGTCGTGCGCCATCAACGGCAACCGCGGTCCGAAAGTTCAACAATAACTAATTAAGTGCGATCGGAAGGTCGTTCCCTTAACAAATTCATTTCGACGCAATCACGATTTTCGAATTTATTTATTGTTTAACAATGGAACACACAACGAATAACCACGTTCTACCGCTGCAGTATTCGTGCGTTTTGAATAATCGCCTAAATTTGTACTAGTGACAATTTTATTATTGGATTAAACGGCAGCTAATGCCGTTCTTTCATTTTTTTTTTGTGCAACTGATTTTCATATTGTTATTTTATTATCTGTCACGCAGATTCATGTTTCACGATCAATTCGTTTAGGTCCCGGGCGGATCGAAAGAGTACAAAAGTATATGGTTTTTTCAGCTGTGGTCTGCAGTGTACGTGCATTATTTGAATTCATTTATATGAGTTTAGACGTAACATCGATCAGTAGAATACGAGTAATATACAACGATTGACAGGTTAGAAAATATAACGGTCAGAATAATTTACATATATTTTCCGAGAAAAATAAATTGTAGTAAATAACTATCAAGTGAAAAAATGTATTTAAAACGTTTTGAACAAAATCTGTTTTGGTTACAGAGCCTGATTCGAGTAAAAATTCCAGATACTTGTTGTTTAATTACATGATAAGCAGTTTTGAAATTTTATTTTTTGTATATTTAATATTCTAAACAACAATTGATTTTGTATTTTAATTTGTTTTAAAAAGTGTATAGAAACTTGAATAATTATCAACACGTAAATCATACGCTGTTCCAACAATTAATTAAAAAACTTTATAAAATAAAATGAATTATCCGACTATATTGCTTTTACTTAATATTTTTTTAGATTTAAATACGGTTTACATTTTTTATCAAGATTTGACATTTTATTGTCGAACTCTTAGAGTACGTTCAATAGATTTAAAAAATATTTACTCATTACATTTATAATAAAAATAAGTAAATGACATAAGCACTTTAGTGAATCGAGCTTTACTCGCAACAGTTTTTAAATCTTGACGATTTATCATAGCTTTAAAATTTTTAATAAAAATACAGTACTATATTTTTCGCTGAGTGTATCGAAGTGGAACGACGGCAGGGTGTGCCCGTAATCCGCTTAATACTGTTTACTTTTACTTTTTTTTATTTTAAATTTAACCATCAACGCATACTATTATAAAATACATTCGGCTCCAGTTATTGTGCAATACTGTAAAGAATATCTATAGTGTAATAATATTCTAAAAATGTTATCTTGCCGTACACATCGAATCGTAAAAGCCGAACCAGCGTAATTGTTTTACTGTTAACGATCGCATCTATCAATCACTAACTGATATGGCGCCATTAGTTTTTACACTCGCGCATCGTACGCGTAGTTGGCATAGTCGTTTCGAAATCGCAGACACACGACGACGGGTAGTGGAAGAAATACAAATAAAATCAAATACACACGTGTTTATGGCTCGTAAATATAATAATATATTATATTGAACTATATTTACAGAGTATAATAAATACAGGTTAGGTGTTGTCGTGTAAGATGTTGATTACGACGAGTGATAGCAGATAACTGGAAAGCCACGCGGATGCCGCGTGGTGAGAAGAAAAGGGAAAACAGTTTTATTTTTCATAATTTACAAATTAGTACGCCTTGTACGGGGCTGGTTTGTAGGCCGGTGCGGAGTAAGCTGGTGCCGGGTAGGCTGCGGGTGCCGGGTAGGCAGCGGGTGCCGGGTAAGCCGGGGCGGCGTAAGCGGGCTTGTAGGCCGGGGCGGCTTTGTAGGCGGGTGCGCTGTATGGGGCGGCCTTGTATCCTGATCCTTCGATTTTCTTGACCTCAGCGTTGAATCCGTAGTTGTCGGCGGTGTATTCGACGACACGGGTGGAACCGTCGGCTTCCAAAAGGCTGTAGGATCCCTTGACGTAACCGTTGGCGTCGGCGTATTCGGATTGGCTCTTGACGTCGTAGGTGGATGGGTCGTTTACGCTGTATTCGAAGTTGTATGGCTTCGGTGGGTAAGCGGGCTCTGGAGCGTAGGCTTTCGGTGCTGAGTACGCTGGTGCGGCGTAGGCGGGTGCTGGGTAAGCTGCAGCCGGGTAAGCTGGTTTGTAGGCTGGAGCGGAGTATTGAGCGAAGGCGGTGGCCACGCAAGCGGCGAAGATGAATAACTGTAACAGAGAAATCAACATTTTTAAAATTTGAAAATTGACGATTGGACATTGTTGGTTGACCACGACTCGGTTCTCGGTAATCTGCAACAGGTATCTCGAGATAGTCGTTGGTTTGGGGTTTATCACTAAATGTACACGTGATTGTTTGTAGTCAATATCCAGAATCATGAGTTTGGATTGAAATTAAAAACAACGTATTCGATGGGATGGATACAAATTGCGAGTTTTCAAGTGAGTTATAAACGCGTACGATAGAATAATATTTTGAAACATCCCAGAAACAGAACAATGCGTTTTAGCTTGTAGAACCGTACCTTAGAATATAAAAATCGCGTAGTCGAATAAATAATGCAGTACTCACCTTAGCGGCCATTTTATTGGTGTGGTTTTGTGTTGGTTTGAATATTTCAAATAAATAAGTACAATCGAACGATCGTAAATGACTGGTGAGTGTGATCACGGCGTTTTCGCTATTTATGCTAAAAGTTTTGAGTGACTTTAATCCCTTCCAGTTGATTAACTAACTCCTTCCAATTTCTGTCGACAGTATTGTGAACCGGTCGCTTTGCAGAATATATGTTGTAGCCAATGAGGCAACCTCATAACCGAGAAAACATTTGACCTACGGCTATTGGGTTTGGTTAAACTATAAAAAGAGCAACCTTGATTTTTTGTCCATGTGGTTAAGACCGAATTTGTCAGTGATTTAAAATTAATTATTTATTATTTTGGATTGGTCGATCATGCCCTTACATAAGTCATCGTGAAGGGTACAATAATGAAATCCAATTTATTTTTTATAGACTGTAATATTGTATCTTAACGATAATCGCTTGATGAACTAACTTATGTGTGTGTGTGTGTAATAAGTGTACATTTTATGTATATCACGGGATCGGTTCAATATCAGGTATTTAAAATTATGTTGGTTAATAGTATCTACATGGTATCTACATAAAATGGTAGGGAAACGTAAAAATTATCATAATGAACTAATTATTTATCACAATTACAGTTTTCATCTTATACCAATAACAATGTAAAATTCATTTAAAATCATATATAATAGCAAGGGACTGCTGCAGTACGAAACTATTGTATGAAAAAAAAATTACTTTTTATTATTAGATAGGTGTCTATTATTTACTTTAAAGTGTGTATTTTCTATTAACCTTCTAATTTTGTGAATGTATTTAAAACTAATTTAAATTATTTCAATAAGATAAATAAAAGTATTATGAAAAGTATTATAAAAGTGTTGATGTATCTTGATGGATAATATTTTTTATGATGATTGGTTAACTGTCAAGAATGAAACTAATTCACTATAATTTCTTATACTTAAAAATGTTAAATATAATAGGTTTGTAAATAAATCTCTTTTTATTTATCGTCACTACAGTCTTCACACATTTTACCTTGATTCCTAATTGTAAGGTGGTCATGGCGAATAACTATAATTGGTCTATAGCAGTTAGAACACTATTCAATTTTTGAATACCTACTTGAGATATAAAACGTCGAAGATTCATACATTCCTGTTTAATAATTATGATTGTTATTACTATTATTATAATTATTATTCATAGAAATGAGTTGAAAATAAAAATATCCAAAAAAACTCTTTATTAGTCATATCACGGATACAGCTGCCAATTATCTATTACTTCATTATTTCTAAAATATAAATATAGCATTGAAATATTTCACTGTAACAACAAGTGCAATAATAACAGTATCTTGTACAATATAATAACATTTTACTTTTAAGTATATTGATTCTTACGGTAAGTGGGCTATTGTTTTTGACAATTCGTTCTATTCGAATGTCTGATCAAGTTAATGACATTTTTAAATACTATTGAAATGAAGAAAAAAAAAATAACTATGTAAATTACCTGGACATTTGTATGCTTAGATTTTTATATTGCTATGTATATATTATATACTATAATATATATGGTATGACGTGTAACGTAGAGACACGTCTTGTATCATTAAAATAAATATACAATATATTCTTTATTTATAAATGGTCGATTCATTCAATATATTTTTTTAAAAATTTTAAATGTATTAAAAATAAAAACTATGTGAATATACACGTAAGATAACTATTTTATTCAAAAACTAAACGTACGTTAAAACAATACAAATATGACAAAAAAAATAAAATATGGTATTGCTATTTCGTTGCGATTTATATTTTTTACTGTATGATGGTAAAATAGGATCATGTACAAAGATATAAAATAAGAAACTTGGGTCCGAGTGTATTAAAACATCATTTGATTTGAATTGAAATTGTACTTGTATAATTGTTGTAAAACAAAATTGTGAATACACAGGGTGTAAATATTTTCATATTTTGTTAATTATATTGTTTGTTATAATGTTTATACATTTATTATCCTACATGTTTATTCATTTAAATTATCTATTACCTAAGTGATATAAATTATTTATCAAGTAAAGTTGTTGAAAATATTAAAATCATTGCACATTGTGGGTAATAATTTTTCTTTTCTAAATCTTGATAAAACATTTCTTCACGTTAATTCTGAATAAATAGTAAACGGAACATCTGTGTCATCTAACGGATAATCTATGAAAATGGGAATAAAATGTATAAGTTTAATCTCAAGTTTAGTTTTACACACTTTTCGTTTTAGTTTAAAGGGTGTAATTCAATTTACAACGAAAACAAAAATGTTTTTTAATTTAAAACAAGTAAGAAAAACACACTCTATGAACACACACCAAGCTCATGGTATCCATACATAATTCATGAATCTCAAACGAAACATGACAAATTACTTATGTTTTACTGCTGAATAAACTACAATTTTAGGTTTGAATAGACATAAAAAAAAAAGAAAATCGCATAGGCACCATAAGGAAGTATACTACTAGCTACTATCATATCAAATCCAATAAATGTACTAAATAATAATAGAAGGTATATTTCATTTAATGTCCATCAAAACAATTCTCTAAAGACAATACCCCTGGTTTCTATAAACACATAATAACATAATATTATAAGACATATTATATATATTTAAATAAACAATAGAAGGTTATAGTATAATAGCTAACCATGGCAACAACATCCGTAATATAATTTTAAGATATTCAATTCATTATATACATAGAAATCCTAAATCTACGAAAATTTTAATTTCATAAAACTTAACGTATAAACGTAAACTTGTTTTAAATCCATTACTTTTACAAAATTAATTATTTTAGGTACATTTATTGAATATAAATTTTAGTATAATATTATTGATCAATATTACTTAAACAATATACAAAACGCAATAAATCGTTATTTATATTTTTTTTTTCGTGCAAACTTAACGTTTCACATTACCATAAAGTTATAAAAAAATAAGCTTTTAAGTATTATAATTAAAAAATGTAATATTTTTTTCTTGATTTTTATCCAATTTTATCGTTAGTTTTATTAATTTTTACTATAACGTACTTAATATTTTAAGCTTAGTGATATTTTGTGAAGAATCCCTAAATATTTTTTTACTTTCCATTTTTCGATTGCATTAACACTGTCAATTATAGTTATTTTTTGTTATAAATACATATTATTAAAAGAAAATTTTTAAAAATAAATAAAATTTATTTGTTGCAATGTTTTTTTTTTTTATAAAAAAAGCAAATAAAAAAAAAATTATTTTATTTAAATAATACATATAATTAGAATACAATAAAATCTCAATGTATTCGTTATCGAATCGTGGATATCGTAACACCTGAATAATGAACTTTCTTTTTTTTCTTCTCTACAATATGATATTGAAAATATGTATTAGGAATTAGTTCAAGATATTTTGTTTCTATTTATTCTATTTGCATATATTATGCAATCATTTTGTTTCAATTTCTAATCAGATTAAGATATAAGGTTATGTGACAGTTTCTGATGAGTTATTGTAATTAAAAATATAATTAACATGTGATTGAGCTTAGAATTGGTATGTTTGAAACGGAAAACCATATTTTCCTATCTCTTGCGTAAATAACGGTTCCGATCGAAAGAAAGTAGCGTAACTTCTTCCGCGAACTGTTAATAATATTGCATACGCCCATTATTACCATAACTATTATTGTATATGAATTAATCTGATATCTTTATGTTTTTAAATTTTTAAATAAGTCATAAAGTAAGACGTAGACGTTAGTTACCATACACGTGTACTGTTGTTTTGAACGCATGGTAAGCATATGTAGCAGTTACTTAGCCATTTATGTTTGACGCATATACACGTTTTCAAAGGTAGTATTTTTGTAAAATGTTTGGAAAAGTTGTGATGCGATATTACCGAATATCGCAACGAACAAAACACATTGTTAATCATATCTGAAAATCATGATATTCCTGGAAGGCAAATCGACAACGAGTACGCGAAATTACGTGCCATTGTTACGTAATGATTTTGCATGATGTTCAGCGTGGTTCGATAGTATCAATCGTTAAAGAAGACGTACTACAGAGCAGGTTTGAGCGGATCAAATGTTTTCCCCAGCAGTCGTCGCTGTAAATGTGTTTTAACGAGAGAAATGTTCCGCGACGTAAAAAAAAAAATAATAAAAAAATAATTCATAATTCCCGTCTGAAATACGAAACGTTAAAAAAGGCCAAAACAATAAAAACAAACGCATTGCCAAAACCAATACACGTTTCCGACATCAATCATGAGCACAACGGTAGTTGGTTAAAAACAAAACGAACGCTGCGGAAAAGCGCGGCGTGCAAAAAGCACGCGATACAGACGTACGGTCGGGAACACGGATAGATTTATTGGATTATTTTTTTCAACAGTGTGTATCAAATATTTTCGACAAGATTTTTGACGGTTCGGTGAACGGACCACAGCGATGACGAAATCTCAAGCCACGCGTGTACATGTAGGAGTCGAACCTACCACGAACCGTTCGTGAAGGGTTCGTGTCGTGTTCGTTAATGCCAGGTATACACTTGCGATCCGCTCGCGAACCAACTTCGACAAAAAAACCGACTCTCGATGGATTGGCGTGACCGACTCGTTGCAGTGGCTGCTCGTGGGGTTCATTGAAAGTGGGGCACAAATATTTTCCTCCTTTTTTTTGATTTTATATGCGTACGTAAATTTAGCGTTTAAATGAGCCAAATCAATTATTCCGTTTTGTGGCCAATTTTTATCACCAGAAGTGTAACAAAAAAAGTATACAAGGAAAACAAAATAAACGGTTAATTTTACCATACAATAGCAACATAGCCAATCATGTTTTGAATAAATATATTTAATAAAACTTCTTTTAAATTATCTAGATTTTGTTTTTTTTTTTTAATTTGTATTATATTTAAATTTGTCATTGGCCTACCTTCTTTTTTAATTTGAATGTATTTCTCAATTGGTAAACTTAAGTAATTGATACTAAATAAATTCTCGACTGTAAGATTCTTTTTGTGTCTTCCAATTTTGTAGTCAGTGGCTCTTTAGATGTTCATCACGCCGCACAGTGGTATGGAATAAAATTTAAGTGGCCAGAAACTGTTTTTAAAAATAACGATTTTAATTATAATTATCATATATTATATATATATTATACAACCATATTTATCAAAAATTCAATAAAATATTAGATTTTATGGGTTTGTTTAGGTGTGTGTAAGATTATAACAATCTATCGAACGCGCATTTCATTTATTTTATCATGTTATACGCGTGTGCAACAAATTCAGATTTTTTTATACGAAAACAAATTAAATAGTTACAACTTTACATGAAAATTATTTTCATGAATATGGAAATTGAAGGTAAATTCATAATTTTGGAAAATTTCTATTTTTAGCATAAATCATGCAAATTATAAATATGTTTTGAGTAGATTTGAATGGTTTTATCAAATTTAAAGGTCTAAAACATATATGTTTCAAAAGATTTCATAAATATGAAATATAGTATTTATAAGGCAAGATGTTATTTTTTAAATTATATTAATTTTACGTGCATCCATCTGCCACTTTTACAACGATTTTTTTTTTTGTAGGTGAATTGAGTATGAAAAATAATAGTCTATACTCGTATAATGATTTGTTTAATTTATAACGAAAAAAAGATTATTTAAAACCTACATCTTCGGAATCAATTCAATATCTATTTAATATTTAAAAAAGAAATAATAATTTTAGTAATTGGGATTCAGATTATGAAGCAAAAGTTAAATCAAAATTCAAAAACTTTACCGTTAATTTATCGAAAAAATGGTCAAAAAATAATCGAACTTTAAATAAATATTTAATTAATAATGAAAAATGACTTAAAACCCAATTTAAATTATCAAAAAGATGTATTTTAAATATTTCTTCATCTCATAATCATCCAACTAAAAGTTTTACGGAATGTTCTAATCGAACAAAACGACGAAAAACCAAAAAATTATTGAGTGATTTTGCTTCACCGGAAATTCAGTTTGCTGTACGAAGTAATTATTATAGATCGGAGAAAAGAAGTGTAGCTAAACTGGTAAAAGAAATGTCTCTAACACCAACTATAAGTAAAAAAATAAAAACATCTTATGTAAAAGCAATGAAAAATAAAAAACCAAGACCGTACACACCTGACAAGGCCTTAGCTTTTATAATTCTTAACAACTTTACGAAGACTCAATACATTAATATTTGAATAAGTGCTAAACTGTGAAATTAAAAACCAAGAGTTTGAAAAATATGCTATTGATATAGCAAAATTATTTGTTTCAATTTATCCGTGATTTTATATGCCAGCCACAGTGCATAAGGTTTTAATACATGAAGCTGATGTTATTCGCACTTCAATACTACCAATAGGTAATTGTTATATTCTATTTAAATTCTATCTTGTTTAAACTATTAATAAATAATACCTATGTTATTATTCATAAATAGGACAATTATCAGAAGAAGAGCAGGAAACTCGAAATAAAGAGTTTAAAAAATATAGAAAGCATAACACTCGCGAAAATTCGAGAATGAATACAAACGAAGATCTTATGCATGTTATACTTGTGTAATCAGATCCTTACATATCTTTTCTAAGAAATGATCGTTCAAAAAAAAAAAAAAAAATCGTCATTTTCTGCAGAAGTTATGTCGTTATTAATTTTAAAAGAAGATGACACCGAAATTTGGGATCACAATTCTTCGAGTGACAGTAACTATACAGTAACTGATACATATAGTAATTAATTTTACTCATAAACATATTAATTTAAACTAACATTAAAAACTTCAAAATAACATTATATCTATTATGTATTTATATTGTTTTCATAATAATGTATCACATAATACAACATATTTTATGTTACTTTATTTTTGGTCACCTAAATTTTATACTATCCTACTGTGCGCCGTCCCACTTATTATCGCGAACGGTTTGCGGTAGGTTCTGCTAGAGAATTAACATTATTTTTTTGCCCTTTATCGTTGTAACATCAGTTGCCATCGATTGTCTACTCGGTGTCTCGACTACATAGTTTTAACCATCGAAGTCTAACGGATTAAAATAATACCGTTGGTGAAAATAATATTGTACCCTGGTACATTGGATAGGTAAAGGGAAAAAAAACACAACATAATTTACATTGAGAAATAAAATATTTATTTATAAAATAAATAGATTATTAAAATGCTGAAACAGTAGGAAAATCGATACTATTGAACAAATGCGTTTCGCATTCAGGCAAAACGGTGAAGCGCTTGAATGATGGACGGGAAGGGGATATGAGGTGAAACAATTTAATATGGTTTGTAAACCGGAGCTGCGTAAGCTGTGGCAGGGTAAGCAGGGTAGGCGGCTTTGTAGGCTGGTGCGCTGTATGAGGCTTTGTATCCTGGTCCTTCGATTTTCTTGACCTCAGCGTTGAATCCGTTGTGATCGTCGGCCGTGTACTCGACCACACGCGTAGACCCGTCAGCCTCGAGCAGGCTGTACGATCCCTTGACGTTGCCGTGTCCGTCGCTCACCTCGTGTTGGCTCTTCACGTCGTGCGTGTATGGGTCCTTCACGCCGTACTCGAAGTGATACGGGGCGGGTGCGTGATGCTCTTCGTGGTACTCTGGTGGGTAGCCGAACACCAACTGTCCGAACAGGGCGGCCAACACTATCGTCTATGGAACAATGTGATTTCTATATTTTTTTTTTTGTTCACGAATCATCTACGCGTCACAATCAGCAACGGGATTCTCTCTGAACGATGAGACTATTATACTCAGGGCCGGCGAGAGGTTGTGGCAGGGAGGGCTAGAGCTTCGGTGCCCATACCCTCGAGAGGGCCTGTTGTCTCAGATTTTTATACGAAACTGTAGATTATTTAAATATTTTTATTGTTTTGAAATACCTACGTATAAGTATGAACATATATTATGAATATCTTAACTAAACAAGTGTAAGTAAAGGGGGCCTATAACCGATCAGCCTCGGGGCTATCAACATTTTTTACCAGCCCTGCCTATACGCCGTTCGTTCTGTCTTCCCGAACCTCCTCGTGCCCGTAGTTCTCGCATGCTTAAGTACCCGAAAGGACTGGTCGATGACCGACGTAGGGCAGTGTGTCGCTCGAGCGTGTCGCAGATTTCCCGCTTCTCGCGATCGACCGCAGTACAACGTTACGGATGCACTCAGATCGAGTACAGCGTAACGGTCAAATAAATCTTTACTAAACGTGAAAGAATATACAGCAAGCACTCATTATCCGCGGAGATTACAAATTTTCATTTTTGCACGTGTGACTTTTTTTCTTTTTTCATTGAAATTTTGGATTGAGAAGCAATTTTAAAAGATTTTCACTACTCAATTTATGAGTTACAAAATTGTATACGAGTAAATATCAACTGACAACTGTGCAATTGACGGTTATTAACCGTACGTGTGTAGGTACTTTATGTAACTTATCTACAATAAGTATATATATATCAATATTATAATAATTATCTACAATTTTCAATAATAAATTATCTACAATGTTCGTGCAATAACGATAGAACTGTATGGAATCAATAACATTATATCGCGGACCTAACTGCCAATAATCAAAACCACGGAAAACGAAGGATTACTTTATTTTGTTTTTTAACGTGGAAATAGCTTACAATGAACGTTTCTTTCAATATCTTGGCATTAGCGCACAAATCTTTCAAAGTCTCGATAAACAAACGTGACGATCCTACCTAATGCGTCGAATGATCGGTGCTCGTACGCGAACTATTATGAAAATGTTATTCGAATAAAAAATAATGTTCTGATATCATTTTTAGTTAGACACTTTAAGTAAAGCGCGTAGAGAATACTGTAATCACTCTTACCTTAATTGCCATCTTAACGCTGTGTTGCTTGAAGACTTGATATCCTGATGGAATTCGGTACTGTTGTGTATTCGACAGACAACTGATGATTGCAGGTACATTGTTTCAGTATTTATAGAAATAATTCGAATTTTATTATGTCCCTACCAAGAACCAGTCAATTGTATTCTTGGATATGGGATTTAGATATTAGTAGATTGTGTACGAATCAAAAGTAGAACATTTCACTTATTAAAAATACACATTAGTTCACGGTTTTTTGATTTATTTCATCATACATGCACACTAATAACTTCATTACCAAATTAATTAAAAAAAAAAAAAAAAATTACTTAATACATTGTTACATATTACGCAGTGTAATGTGTACAAATGATGATTATTAGTTTAAAATTCTAATAATTTTTACTTCTCCTGTCAAATGGTAGAAAAGTTAAAATAATAATTTAATTATTATTGAATATTGTCAAACGAATGATGTTATAAACTATGTACCCTTATAAGTCATATACAAAATTCACGAGGATCGAATTTTCATGTATTAATAACAAATACCCGTAAACAGAAATTAACAAATTTGAAAAATGTTTTTATTTTTTAAGAATGTAAATTTAAATAGGTAACATAGTATACAAAACATAATTTGGATCGCTTTGAAAAATTATCGAACGATAAATATGGAACCGGTATGTTGAAATGAAAATTTTCTGTTTCATTCAAGCTATAAGTATGTCCAAATAAATCGACTGAATTTTTTTTTCTAACTTATATGATCAAAAAATTTTTTTTGAACAGTTTTTAAATATCTAAGTGTTATTCCGGATAAAATTCTAGCCCGGTAGACCCAAATGTTTTCTAAATTAAATCATTACATAATTTTCATTTTTACGATAATCCACATACTAAATCAAAAAAAAAAAAAAAAATCCTAAACACTATTATTTGCTTATACATAAAAATAATTCTGCATCCTTATTTCATTAGCACTATGCACTATGATGCATACCTAATAATTTACACAAACAAATTTAGTGAAAATTAAAATATTTCAAACAATTTAAACAATTACTAAATATTATTGGTCCTTAATATATAATTGAATACAGAAAAATCTAAATTTATTCTTAAACAAGAATTCATATAAAATAAGATTTATAATTTTCACAATTTTTTTAAAAAGTCGTCTGCACTGCACAACTAGTTGTACTTCGAACCACTATTATGTAGTGGAGTGTAAAATAGATCAACTAAATAACCAGTTAATTAGTTTAATATAGTTCCATTTAACTATTTTTTTAAAAAAATATTTAACACTTATATTATTTGAGTTTATATGCGATTGAAAATATCAATAATTGTTATCAATTTTATAAATCAAATTAAGTCGATTCAAATATTTTTAACTTAAAATTTTATCATGGTTCGTAACAAGAGAAAAAATATGAATAAACGAACTAGTTAATAATTCAAATTAAATAGGTGTTAGTAATGACCGTTGTTCATTTTTTAAAAAATAATAACTATAAAGGGGGCGATTACTAAATTCTGCATATACGCAATACGTGTTTCTTATAGAATAAGTGATAATTTAAAATAAATATGTGCTGAAGTAATAAAAAATTATAAGTAAACGCATTGAAAATTATACATAATTGGCTTAGAAAATTTTATTCTTGTATTGTTATTTGATGTCCATGTCACAATTTAACATTTTTTAAGTACCAGAAATACATAGTATGTGGTTAAAGTATAAAATACAACTATAAAAACCACTTTCGTATAATATTAAAGCCATTTCTGTCCAGTTCATTTTTTCAACAAATAATTTTCAGTTTAATACATCATATTATTTTTGAAAAACTACTTGTTCAAACTTGTGTAAGTACTATAAAAATATGTCTAGTTAGCATAAATCAAATATTTATTTCTTTTTCACTGCCGCTTTAAAATCTTTAGTCTTTGGCTAAGAATTTAATATTTTTATTATTATCAGAAATGTAAGTTTTATTTCTTGAAAACTAATTAGGATACCTTCCAAGAAAATCATATTTTAATTTTTAATATGTCTAGAGACATCATTGAGTGTGCTCTCTTCTTTGTGACTAGAGTTATTACAATAATTGTGATACATTATTTATTCATGGTATATACTTATTATAAGTACAGATTTTTTTTTTGAAGACCAGTAATAATATATTACGTGTTTATTTATGAGATACGGAAAGACAAATTAGGTTGATAAGTATATTTTTTTATAAAACCAAAAACCGTAGCATATTGTTCAACGTTGGATTTTAATAAGAAAAAAATCAAAATAATATGATTGTATCAAAGAGTGCGCAGTATAATTATTTCAAGCATACCTTTCGAACGTAACACATCTCATAAATAAAAACAGTTTTGTTAACAATACTCTAATAGTGTAGTAGATACAGTAACCCAAAAGAAACCGTAAAAAATCTGTTTTATCTTTTCTAATGTTTGATAGGCTTGAAAGTTGGTCGTTAAAAAAAACACTTTTTTTTGACATGCATTCAGATGCAGCCTGTTCTTCAAACTAAGTATACTGTCAATCATTGCATATAATTAATTACTTAACATTCAAAGGATATTTTTTAATAATTATTTTATGTTGTATCTGTTCCAGGTCAACAAATTTTACAGTCGATTGCAATCATTCGAAACAGAATAAAATAATATTGGTTTGAACGACGGGTAAGTAAAAATAAATATGTAATTTTGGTAGAAAAAATTGATTTTTATATGACCTATGCAAATGTAGTATTACACTTTTGAATGTTATTTTTTGCTACCGAAAAATTCGAATTGTGTTTTATTTCAAAAATAATTAGAATTAGTATAATTGATATGTATTATTTTTTTTTATATTTAAAACAAAATCCTATGGTCTGTTTTATTAATAGTTAATCCTATATTAGTTTCGTATGTGTTGTAAAAGTGCCAGGATTATACCATACAGTATGTATGAATATCGATTGTTTATGCATCAAAGTTAAATATTTTTTAAGAGCATTTTAATATTTATCATATTCTAGATACAATAAGTCCTAATGATAAGTCGGTTCATGCAAAATAATTAGGTTAATGAAATTACTTAAAAAAGAATATTCGATTCCAAAAACCAACTTGAATATTTCGTTAGTGAAACGGGAAGCATACCAATTTTAGTCAAGTTGAATTTGAAAACAATATACTACCTGAACATAATTTGCGGCTTTATACGGACAGTGACAGTATATCTGAATAGTATATTTGTAGCTGGTAAAAAACAACAAAAAATGATACGCACTGTTATTTTATTTTTAAACTATATTTGAATGAAGTAGGTATCATTTGTACGGTAAATACAATTTAAAGGTGTTTTTTTTTTTTTAATTTTTGTTTCTAAAACAAATTTCCATTTCAACATAAAGTTAATGATAAAACGTATATGCACTTGAATGATGATTTAGACATCAATGACGTGATGATGACCGATGAAATTGTAGTACATTATCAGTAGAAATGAATACGAATACGAGTGGAAGGACTGGCGATAGTATTGAGTTTATCAACACCTAGTCGTGATGAGCTGATGAGATTTTTTTCGCATTAGCATTGGAACCGTGTTCGTGATCAGCGATATACAGTAAAACCTCGATAAGATGGAATCGCTTGGGACCATGCAATTTTTCCGTGTTAACAGGGTTTCCGTCTTGACGGGGTTCAAAAAAATTAAATTGAATTAAAATAAAGATTATTTATTTTAAACCAATATACACATAATACAATTTATATTTTTAATTACATTTCTTATTTATATTTATTTATTTATATTTTAATATTTATTTTTAGCCAATATACATTAATAACTTTTATATTTTTTGAAGAAAATCGGTTATTGGTTTTTGTTTTTTATTCCGTAAGGCATCACATTCCACACACTCTTTGGCTTTCGAAGCCAAATCCAAAAGCTCACTACTGGACACTGCGAGGGAAAATTTTTGTAGTTCCTCGAGGTAGCAGATAGCAGTTTTGTAATATTTTATCAAATTTTCTGGTTCTTCATGTTGGTTTTCGTCATTCTCATCGTCCTTTTCATTTTCATTCTCAACCATGGATATAACTGAATCATGAGTTTGCTGGGTTTCAAGTTGGTCATCAATATGAAGAAATTCTTCCGGGTCAACATCAAGTGTAACAAAGATATCTTGAATTTCAGTCAGGGCATTCTCCTTGGAATTCACGTCTGATCCATCATTCAAGAATCCAGCTTTACGGAAACAGTTTTTAACACATTCATTTTTCAAACTATTGCATGAAAAAGAAATCTAATTTACAGCGTCTAAAACAGTTATCGAACTAGCAAGCTGGTGAACCGAAGTAGAACTATCCATTTTGCATACAAGCGACTGAAGCATAAGTTTACGATAGTACGACTTAAAGGTGTAAATAACTCCTTGGTCCATCGGTTGAGAAACCGACGTGTCGCGACGTGGTGTTTGGAGGTAGCATATGAATTTTAATATTAGACAATTCAATGTAAGGATGGCATGTCGCATTATCTAAAAATAATAAAATATTTCTGTTTTGTGATCGGATATCTGCATTGAGATATTGTAGCCAACAGTGGCCATTATTTCTGACGTGATCCAAGCCTTCTTATTAAATTTCCAAGTCACGGGTAATGAAGCAATATTCATATTCTTAAAACAACGAGGTTTCATAGATCTACCTATAACAAGAGGCTTCCTGATTTCACCTGCTATGCTCCCACACATCAACACAGTTAACCTATCCTTAGATTTTTTACCACGAACACACGCATCGCCCTTTATTACTAAAGAATTGGTGGGGATCCCTCTGAAAAAAAGACCAGTTTCGTATGCATTATAAACGTCTTTAGCTTCATACCCTTTAATGAGAACTGAAAGTTTGTGTTTCTACTTTTCAACTGTGTCTTGATTTATGTCAATTGTTTCCCCATTGATTTGCTTGTAGACGATATTGTGCCGTCGTTTGAACCGGTCAAGCCAACCATTTGAAGCTTTAAAATCACTGGTTCCGAGTTTTCCTGCCAATTTAGTTGCCTCTGCTTGTAGAATAAGTCCGGAGACGGGCAAATTTTTCGACCGAGCACTGATGAACCACCTGTACAAATGTCGTTCAACTTGTTCAAATCCTACAGACACCACTCTTTTACCTTTCCCAGACAACTTATCCACTGCTCCATTAGTTTGTCTTTATTTTTTATCGTTTCATAAACTTGCGTTTTTCCACACTTAAATTTCACCATAAGATCTTTCACCGAAAGATTTTCTTGTTGTTTTAACTCGATTAATTTTATTTTGTCTGATAGCGTAAGAGTTGTTTTTTTCGACATTTTAAACAAAAGACGGAAAACGTAACGACACGAACGATACACGATTTGATACTGAACAAGACAACTCAGATAATAATGTTGTATAGTGTATAGCGTATACATATCAATTTTATTAGTTTTTCATGTCATCGTACAAAGTACGCGCACGTATAGCGATTATCGTGGGTATCGAGTTATCGACAGTACGAAAATAAATTTGAAGATTATTCTAAGTTTGTTTTTTCATGTTATATTTCCGTCTTAGCAAGAGATTTTATCCAATTTTAATACAGAAACGTGTCCGTTTCCGGCTTGGCGAGGTTTCCGTCTTGGCGGGATAAATTTATATGTATTTTAAAAAAGGACTAAAGAAATTTTCCGTATTACCGGGGTTTCCGTTTTACCGAAGTTCCGTCTTATCGAAGTTTTACTGTACTTGAAAACTCACGTAGGACCGTCGGCTTTCTCTATCATTTATGTTGATACATATGGTCCGTAAAATGAATCGTTTAAACATTTACAAACTCATAATATTATCAGACGATGTTCAATAATGCAATAACCTTATGTATTCTTTAAAAAATAAAATATGCATAAAATATGTAAATCATCAAATCATACTTTATTTTTTTATTTTTTTAAATAAAATAATTACTAACTTTAATCGACACATTTAAAATATACCGTTAAATATTTTTTTCACATCAAGTTCTTTATTAGTATTTTATTCACGTCATCAATAATATATTTTTAACCTTCATTTTTTTATTTAAAATAATTTGTTTATACTTATATGTTCAGTTGAATAATTGCACTGATTTATGTCTGCGGTACTAATTCAGTTTTAAATTTATTACATGATCATCGTATACCTAACAAAATATTTATTAAAAGATAAGCTTTTACTTTTGTAGCTATTTTGAAAGTGTTAATTTATTAAACTTTGAATTTTTACGAACAAAATTTATGTTTTATCGAAAGATGAAGCGAATAAAGATAAATATTGAAACTTGGCTTACAGTATTTATAATAAAAAAACCTCTTACATTTGTTTGTTTACATAAATATTAAATTAATATCTATTAGGATCAGATACCAAAATCGAAACCAAAATGAACTGGTTAACCTTTAACATTCAGAAACCGTAACTTTAACCGGAAACTTTGTTTAAAATAAATGTAAAATCTTAACCATAAACGTAAGCTCAATTATAAAACCGTTAATTTTGGTTAGTAGTATTATCTTGTTAGTAGGTTCAAAAGAAGTAATTTTTGTAATTTTTTTATTTATTTTTTTTTTTGTTGTTGTAAACTTTAATTTTGAATACATAAATATATCTATAAACAATTGTTAACCCTAAAAAGTAATGAAAGTTAAAAAAGAAGTGGCGAAAAAATTAGTTGTAGCAATAGTGAGCTACTTTCTTCTTGAAAATAGTTGTAGCGTAAGATTGTTATAAAAAATACTTACATACTGGCCACTGAATTTATTTTTAATTTGTTTCTAACTAGAAATTGCATTCTTATGATTTTGCATATATGTTTCTAGTCCATGCAGTCAAACCGGAATGAAATATCTTTACGATTCATGAAACACAAAATTCACAGAAAAAAATGTGTTTTGCATAAAAAAGCATTTTGATAATATTGATTAACAAATATAATATTCACTGAGTTATTTTATATCTTTCTAGATTACAACAAAAATTAATCACTAGATATTAGGGGTAATCTATTAAATCCATTGGTTTTTTTTTTTCAAAAATGTAAATCAATTTAATAAAAACATTCCATAAATAATAAATTTAAATTGAGTAATTTTTATGTATTTTTTTTTTTTTTTTAAGAATATTTGTATTCTAAACGACATTAAAACATATTTTAAGTATTTTGAAATTATATTAATCCGACCTCTATTTATGGCCTTTAAACTGCATACTTGTTCATAATGCATATGTTTATATTATCTTTATGTTGATATTTGAGTGCACCAAAGATATGTTTTTGATATTCCATTTGAATTTACAACGTTTAAGTTTTTTGGAAATTTTTCTTGACTAATTGATGTATTTCGTCGAATTAAAATTTTTGTATAATACACAGAACCTTTACATTATGTTAGAGTAATAATGTTAAAAATTGTTAATTGTTAATAATAATGTTATAACGATAGAAACAAAGAAATCATAAAAAGTAAAGCACGATGATGAAATGGAAAATATATTTGAACAATATTATAACATCGTTAAAAATAATTTATGTACAAATCTCACATAATATTGTAATATAGATATAAACTGATGTCTATAAGAAATACGAGACTTGAAAACGCCGTTTCGTGTATTGGTGTTGGAAATCGAAACCGACACTGGACGGCTGGATTAAATTCGTATTGGACCCTACAAAATGATAGGATCATGCTATTACTTATTACGTTCCTCATTGGCGTCGGGTAATAAGATTTCTTATGCTCGACCGAATCGTACAATTTTTTACTCAACTGTTGGATTTTTTGAATCTAGCAACGAATCCATGCACGTCGTTGGCCGTGTACTCGACCACCCTCACCGGTCGTCTGATTCGATTATCCTGTAGATCCCTTTATTTCTTTAACTGTGCCAATCCTATCACTAAACTCCTTGTAGTTTTCACATCACCGGTAATCCGATCGTGCACGCCATACTCTAATTGATACCAGTTGGACTCTTTCGAGGCTCCTTCGCGGTGCTCGCTGTGGAAGTCATTGAACACGTGCTCGATCAAAGCCTCCGTCAACAAAAAAGGCACCACCGAAGATAGCGTCATCATAATCGTGATTACATGAATAGCAAAAGATATCAACTGAATACAACATGCTCGTCTAATACAAGGGATCGGTGAATATTAAGATGGAATACTAATTCAGGTTCACCTTAGCCGTGGCCATGATTGCCGATAGTTTTGCATTCTTTGAACAAATCGAGTACCTACCTGGGCCATTAGCATAACGAGACAATTGTCCGTTGCCCGATATTCTTCTACATCGCATTGCAGTGAATCAGTGAATCAGTGATTTAATTAAATGGTTCTCTCATTCCTCAGTGTCAGTTGGCCGATTTCGACTGCGCACTATAGGAAATTTACAAAAGTAACAGTTCATATTATCAGCTACTGTGAATATAAAATTTTTTCCAAAAATTACCTGAATAAAAGTAAATTTAGAAAAAGCAGTATAACGTTATCAATTTATATGTATTTGAAAAATATGTGACATTTATATTGTATTATTTATATTAAGTTATAAAAACAAAATCAGTTTTGTTAATTATTTTTTCTTGATGCTTATTCATCAATTAGATTAGAATATGCAGAAGCTTTGATGTATACGCAAGCAGCTTTTGTTGTAATTTTTATTTGTTTTTAATATTTGTTATTTATTGACCCATTTGTTTCAAACGATTGTTGAACATTATAGTCGACGGCTTTCAATTATTTACTGTAATAGCAATTGTTTATATGAATTACTATTATAATACTGCTGTATATTGTAATGCGTATCAATCGAATATTCGTATTGGCTAAAAAAAAATGTATACATTTATATGATATATTAATTACTGGAATTACTTATTACAATAAATTACATGAATACTTCAATGGTTTAGTGTATTGTGAATTATCGGTACGCATAACATGGTTACGATGTAACGGTATCTTTTTATCGGTCACGGAATCTTCACAACTCATACATATGCTGTCCATTGACTAGCTGCAGGCATAACGATTTAATGACCAGAGGAAGTATGATTTAACAGAAACGTAGTGTGTTAAGGTGATTACGCAATAACGAGAATAATACAGATGCGGTGTAAAAAGCGATCTATATGGATTGTACGCCGGGAAGAAGGAGTGTGGGCCAAGAACCTAGAGAATTAACATTATTTTTACACCTTATCATTGAAACATCAGTGGTCATCGATTGTGTACTTGGTGGCTCGACTACGTGGTTGGAACCATCAAAGTCTACCGGATTAAAATAATGCCGTTGGTGAACATAATATTGTACCCTGGTACAATGGACAGATAAAGAAAAAAAAGAAATACAATATCATTTACATTGAGCAATAAAATATTTATTTATAAAATAAATAGATTATTAAAATGCTTAAAAAGTAGGAAAACCGGTACTGTTGAACAAATGCGTTTCGCGTTCGGGCGAAACGGCTAAAGCGCTTGAATGATGGATGGTGAGGGGATATGGGATGAAACAAATTAATATGGTCTGTAAGCCGGAGCTGCGTAAGCTGGGGCAGGGTAAGCAGGGTAGGCGGCTTTGTAGGCTGGTGCGCTGTACGAGGCTTTGTATCCTGGTCCTTCGATTTTCTTGACCTCAGCGTTGAATCCGTTGTGATCATCGGCGGTGTACTCGACCACACGGGTGGAACCATCGGCTTCGAGCAAGCTGTAAGATCCCTTGACGTAACCGTGTCCGTCGCTGTATTCTTGTTGGCTCTTGACGTCGTAGGTATGCGGGTCGTTTACGGAGTACTCAAATTTGTACGGGGCCGGGGCGTACGCGGGTTCCGGAGCGTAGGCCTTCGGTGCGACGTATTGACCGAGGGTGGCGGACGCGCAAGCAGCGATGAAAAATACCTGTGAATCGAAATGTTTGGGTTAAAATACTGAATAACCAAGGGTCGAGTTGAACCATTATAGTTAGTTAATCTATACGGTTTTTTTTTAAATTCTATCAATTGTCAATATCGTATAATGGCAAATTCTATTCGGTTTTGTTCTCTACGCATCATACCTTAGCGATCATTTTGTTGTATTTGATGTGATGTGACGCGATGGAGATGATTATTTTGTACGGTAGTTGTCTTTCGGATTGAACGCTGCAACTGATGACTACTGCTCATGCCGATGCAGTATTTAAATCGAAATCCATAGGTGTAACCCTTTACCCTCTCCGAACAGCTCGACTCCCGTATTTAATCACACCGTACGGTTCTATATTATTGTTTCTGCAGTGTTACCCATCTAGAAACATTATTGGTGTTATTTTATTTACTCTGTGTTCTTATTCATTAATTATTGTGAAATAAATAAATTATTAATAATGATTAGTGAAAGTCATTAATAATTTGAAATAATTATAATATGTATTATATAAAATTATTACGTAGACAATTATTTAAGAACATAATATGAATACTATATATTATAGTTTACACCCAGTGACCTTATCTTTAAAATAATTCCAATTTATTTAAATATTTTTAAAAGAAATATTCTAATATAAAAATAAAGAAAGTTTGATGTTAAAAGATCAATAAGGTTATAAATACATTTTTGTTATAACTATTAAAAAAACGGATGTACATGATGGAAAAATAATAAATATATATTAATCATTTTTGAGGCAAATTTGAAACTTTTTTTTATGATTAATATTAGCGTTAACGATGGTAAAAATTAATTTTAAGTTTCATTTTACAAAAATATAATTAAATTAATTTGTTTGTAATATTTATTGCATAGGAACAAAACTAGAACTTTATTAGTTATTGTCACATCAACTTTTCATATTCAAGATTTTTAATAAAAATCAAACTATGTGGAGCAATTAATATTATATTAGAACAAATACAAACAAAAGAAAATATATTATCATATAAAATAGTTTGAAGAAGAAAAAATATTTCAATATATTTAATCAAAAATTTAAAATAGTACACATAATTTATAAGCTGGAGGCGTAGAAATACATTTTCATCATAATTTACTAATAATTTTTATCATTTTGACGTATTATTATTAAATTTAATATATGAGAGCATGATAATAAAATTGATCGTGGTATATAATTATCCATGGTTGCCAAAATATGTTTTTGATTGATATCGTAAATTATTAAGAATGAAATTTCCCTGCACAAATATTTACCATAAATCAATAAAAATATTAATATTTAAATAACAACAAAATATGTTTTAATATTCTTGTATATTTCATTTTAATTAAATTAAAATATGAAAACTATTAAACGAGTATAAAAGCTTTCAAAAATAAATATATATATATTTTTTTTTTGATGAAAAATAATTTAGTTTATTTACAAGTATTGTTTTTATAAAATTCTAAATGACTTCATACTATCCTTTGGATACTATATGGCGATACTTGGAAATACATGTAAAATCACTCCTATACACCCATATATTGTATTTAATAGTATTTTATTACATTTTCTTTTCAAACAATTTTTTTCAGGTTTTTTTAATATTTTTGTGAATAAATATTTATATAAAATAAACAAATAATAATAAATAATTTATAAGATTTTAGTTTACACAATTGCCAAATCATTTTTATTTTTTAAAATATCCGTAAAGAAGATTTAAAATTTAAAACAAACACATTTAAACAGTTATCACGTACATTACCTCTTAATCAATTGATTCGCGTTATTTTTACTTATTCCTATATTTAATATAATTTACAAGTATTATATACATATAAAATACATATATTACAAAAATATTCCATACATTTATGAAAGAAATTAATTCTACCGCAAAAAAAAATGCGTGACTGTTTCACTCGGAACCGTGAATTTAGTGTGTGTGCTAACAAATTATTATGTAAAAATGTGCGATAAATAAAAGTTGAATATCAAAGATTTACACAATTTGTTTTCATAGTGATTCTAAAGTTTACAATATATAATGCATTTTATTTAATTCTTTGGCAAAGTGTCTAAGTAAGTAATATTATTGAACTACTTTGTACAACCGGTTCAAGACAGTAAAAGGTAAATTCAGGGAACAGTATGTATTTGGAAGGGATAGCAAACTTCTGCTCTTCAATATAAATACCGTGACAATGAGTAAGACACCAGTGCTCATTATTTTGTTGAAAATCAACAGAATCAAATAGTGCTAAACACATCAAGTCGTCCGAAATGGCCGCAAAAGTAAGACTGAAAAATCTATTATACGTTATTATATTTCACTTGTAAACGGTATTCGATCATCTTAGTAAATTTCTCTGTCGAAATGCGGTCATTAGTTATTAGAGCTTTTGTATCTGTAGACCCTTCAACAGAGGGTATATGATGAGCGGACGTGATCGACGACACGTTTTTACGACGTGCATACCATATAACTGTGAATTTAATTTCAGCGATCAGGGTATTTTGTTTCAGCTGATCGTCCTCGTCGCTTGCGCAACCTTTGCTATGTCCCAGTACGCCGCACCTGCCTACAAGCCCGTGGCCTACCCGTCAGCGCTCGCTTACCCGGAGCCCAAGGCATACGCGCCCGAACCCGCCTACCCGCCGATCCCGTATAGCTTCGAGTACTCCGTGAACGACCCGAGCACGTACGACGTGAAAAGCCAAGCTGAGTACAGCGACGGCAAGACGGTGAAGGGATACTACAGCCTGGTCGAGGCTGACGGCACCAAGAGGATCGTCGAGTACACCGCCGACGACTACGGTTTCAACGCCGAAGTCAAGAAAGAAGGCTCTCCATCTTACGCACCCGCCGCACCCGTCTACAAGCCCGCGCCAGCGTACAAACCGGCCCCGTACAAGGCATACTAATGTCATAAATAATTTACTATCAAATCGAATCCTCGTCATCGCCATCATATCTATAAGCTGTGTTCTGTCTTCGATGTATTTATTTTATAAATAAATAGATTATCATAAAATTCAACGATATGCACTTTTTATTTGCATTTTTTTTATCTTTATAACGCGTGTTACTTACATAACATTGGTTAACATTTTATGTAGAATAATTTTTACACGCAGGTCGTGTAAATACTAAAACGTTTCGAATGATCATTGCATTAATAATAACAATAATTCAAAGGCACTTTTATAATAAAATGACCTCCTAGAAAACATTGTCATGAATATTATTTGACATATCAATAACTATATTTTTATAGAGAAATTTATGATTAATGTTACAAAAGTAATGGTGTAGTTGACAATTTGGTATTAAAAACGGTAACATTAAATGATCGTTTATATATATATATACATATGTATCTTTAAAACGTCATTCAAACTATTTAATGTTTTAGATATTAAAGCTATTTAATGTATGTACGTCAGTATTTTTATACCTCTATAGGTTATCAAAATACGGGGATAGTAATATCCGTAGAAAACATTAGTAATCAAATTTTAGACCCATTATTAAGGTTGTTCCACAAATAGTTCATTACCACAAACTTGAATTTGAAGGATATTATAAAATTTACATAATTATGTGTGGCATGTGCAATGTTATTACATAAAGCCTCTATTCGTGTTACCCATTTATCTTTCTGGTTTTTTAGTCGATTGTGTGCATTGTACATAATTTGTCTGACCTATAGTCGTATTTTTTTTTTTTATCTTGCACTAATTTTAATTTAATACCAAATTTTATGATATAAAATTTTTTACATTATCTCATCAGTTATATTTTGCGTAAATTATCTGAACGATGTTATAACACTTTTCTCTAATTAACAGCGCCTTTTTTTTAATTACCTTTTCACTTTTGATGTTTAAAAATATACTTATCCAATTAAAACCCATTTAAAATATTAATATTTATTGGAAATTTCTAATAATCGATGACATATCATAATTATTGTACTACTGACTCCATAAATTTGAATGAAAAGTTTGACTGTTTATAATATATTTGTTGTGAATTTTTCAAAACACTGATACAATATAAAACAAATGGGTTTAATGTGTAAACTGAAGAACTAATACAGTTTTAATTACAAATTTAAAACACAAATTTACTAAAAATATTTTCAGTGACGGTCAACATATGACTATTCGAAAATCAAGAAAGTTCTTTATATTTTTCTATAATTGTACTACGAAGTCAGAAAAGCCTTATTTATATCACTGATAATTTATTTTCACGAGAATAATTGAACCCACTTAAAATCTCAATACTGAAAAACCGCATAGAAATAAATAGACAAAGCTTACAATATAAATTTATATTCGTTTTACATCGAGTATGTGATAACAAAACACATTCACCATGATCAGTTGAAATATTTAAATTAAAAAAATAAAAATAAAAATGTTTAAACTCATATACCTTATAGATCGAACATAGATCAAATTCGCTTTGTTGAATTTAATATTCCCCACATTCATAAAATGTATGTTTATATTTAATATCTATACACCACATCAAATAATTGTATAGAGTACATAATTAATACATTTTAGCAAGCATGACAAAATTTCACCCATGTTAATTACTGTATAATCATAATTTCAAATATTATTTATTATTTCAACAATGCGTAATAATATATAGATGTACAATATAAAATAAGTATATCGAATAATATCTAACTGGATGGATTTGAAAGAATCCATAAATCATGTACATAATTTATAGCAACGATTTTATTCGTGCTAAGTGCAAAAAAATAAAATAAATAAAAAAATGTAAAGTGCTTATTGAGGCTGTTGCAGTCCAACTTTGAAATTGAGCATATGGTAGAATATAGGCCACTAACATTATCCATTCAAGCAGAATTCACTTTCGGTTAGATAAAACCGGTAAATAAGTACATTGACCAAAAAGCAAAGCAAGGATTGAGTTTATGAGAAGTGTAGCAACACACGTGTTCTTAACCTTGAATAATATCAAAATAGTTTCGAATTCTCAAGTTCAAGTAAAATTAATTTATATTATTAAATTATATATTCTTCTACGTTTTACAAATTGTCAAAAATGTCACACTTCATTTTCTAATTCAAATAATTTTTAACCCATTTCAAAAATGTACCTAAAAGGTCTTTCAGAAGACCTTATTATTTAGTCTTCAAATTAAATTTTATTACTATGTGCTGAATTTAATCAAAAAGTTATAATTTTACTTAAATAAAACGGTAACCATTTAAAATTGTTTGATTTATAATTTTTTTAATTTAATTCATTATGGATTTTTTTAATTTCTATCCAGTTGTTCAAAAAATTGCCTTGTAGAAACTAATAATTTAATAGTAGTATCGTAATAAAATTATATCATACTTTGTGTATTATTTTATGTACCTATTATTCATAGTAAATTTGATAAAGTATTATTTTTCTTAATAATAATTGGTTATAAGGGAAACAATACAGGTTGTACGGTGGTAGATATTAATAATCGATGTTATAATATGCTTAGGTAATAAGTGTCAAGATTTAGAATCACATCGTGCAAACGTAGTATAAAAATAGGTGTTATTTTGCACAAACAATAAAAATTAAAAAACACGATAATATACATTTAAAATAATTTATTGTTTAACAATTGCATGAATGAATCGAGATGATATTTAAACAGAGAGATGGAGAGCTGTTTTTTATTTCTACAACGAAATATTCAGCTGGCAATGGCAAGAAGTGTGTAGAAATCTGAACGACGACAAATCATTAGTATGCCTTGTATGGGGCTGGTTTGTAAGCAGGGGCCGAATAAGACGGTGCTGGGTAAGCAGCGGGTGCTGGGTAGGCGGGGGCGGCTTTGTAGGCTGGTGCGCTGTACGGGGCCTTGTATCCTGCTTCAATTTTCTTAACGTCAGCGTTGAAACCGTTGTGGTCGTCGGCGGTGTACTCGACCACACGGGTGGAGCCATCGGCTTCCAAAAGGCTGTAAGATCCCTTGACGTAACCGTTGCCGTCGCTGTATTCCTGTTGGCTCTTGACGTCGTAGGTGTGCGGATCGTTTACGGAGTACTCGAAGTTGTACGGGGCCGGTGCATAAGCAGGTTCCGGAGCGTAAACCTTTGGTGCGGCGTAAGCGGGCGCGGAGTAAGCTGGCTTGTAGGCCGGGGCAGCGTATTGGGCGAGTGTGGTGGCCACGCAGGCGGCGAAAATGATCATCTGCAATACATTAACGATTTTAGCGGTATCCTATCGATGAACGATGACGGAACGTGTTCACAAACTATCATAATTTGATTATTCAGGGTGTGCCGTGAAGGTATGAACGTTATTAGTACACCTAACATTAGAATGTTCAAACTATCGCGGGACACCCTGATGATCATATACGCGTGGTGTTATTCTTACGAATCATACCACTTTTGGCAGTACATAAGTCAGGCTGTTTACGGTTATCCGATTAAATTTTAATCTTATCTTACCTTAGCGGCCATTTTATTCGTTTGTTTTCGAACGGTGCTGTGTGTGCTCGGTAATGTTCTCTCTACTGCAACTGATGACTTTTTCCTCTCGATCCTCCGTATTTATGTTGAACGTTTACCGAAATCGCATCCCTTCCAGTCACACAATTCGCGTATTCGCAATCGTTTTCATTGTTCGATAACCGGTCGCAATATACATTACGAGTATATTGTATTATGTTTCATGTTTTTCGCATATTCGTTGGCCGCGGCGTTACCACCCCTCTCCGCCGAGCGCTGTACTTTCGTTGGGTGTGATATTATGCAGATCGATATTACACTCTTTATACGATATCGTAATAATAATTAGCAGGTGCATATTTTAACGCTGAAATGGTCAATGTGTCTGTTGTGTGTTGAGATTAATTACTGTTACAGTAATCTGGAGTTTGAAACATTTACATACAATATGTGGTTTGAATAAAAATAACGGACCTTATTAAGTCGGTCGCCCAAAGCAATAATAATTATTTTGAGACATTCTTGCGTTTGACAGCTAACTGGAACATAATTATTGTTAATTTTTTGTCATTTTAAAGTATATTGTTACTATATTTTATTTTTCATTTGGAAAATATCTTTACGCCAGGAAAAAATTTTTTAATATACTATTACGGACTCATAAATTAAAATAATATTCCATAAAAATTGTTAAATATTATGGATACTCATAAACTTTTATTCAGGTGTGATTGAAATTAAGTAGTATTTTAAGTGTTTTTACTATTTACATTGTAAGTTATGTTATTAAGAAAGTGCACTTGTTATGAATGGAAAGCACGCACGTAAAATCTGCAGTGACTTAAACGTGGTTGGTTAAAATTTATGATTATTTCATTGAACTTTGAGGGAGTTTGAGTGAATCATATTTTTACCATAAATCAACTTGACCGGTTTGATACGATTGGATACGAATAATGCTACATCCTAATGATTGTACGTAGTCGCTTTATCGTATGTTCAAAATGAATTTCGTTAATTATAACACTTTTTATTGTAGGTCATGTAAATAATTATAGTCGAATGAATTAATTAATATTAATTTATATGGTGTATATTATGTCATCGATCTCTCGTATTTTTAATTGTTGCAGAACATATATGTGGGTTTTGGTATAGCAAAAATACAAGTAGTACATATTTTTTTCTTATATTTGTAAAATGAAATATTTTTTTCATAAATAAATTACAAATGTATGCTCTAATTCACATACACCTAAATCAATGTTTATTAAATTAATAAGGGATTTTAATTGAAATTGCTGAATTACATGAATTACATTTTTTTCCTCTGTATTTAAATGTAGGAATTATGTTTGATGGTCAAACTTAACTATGATAAAGCTTTGAATTATATAAACAAACTATTAAAAAGTTATAACAGTAAATATTGTCAGGTATAATATAGAATTTTTAGTGGTTATGTAATTAATTAAGTAAATTTAATAAAATTACAATTCGAAAACTAAAAGTTGAAAACATTTTTTTTTACGTATGCATTGATTGATTTTTATAGTAACATTTTAAGACCTAAATTTATTTTATTTTTTATTTTAATTAATTTCATTACCTTGTCGTTTTTATTTCTAGTACAATAAATATTCTATTACTTATTTTCAAAGAATTTAAAAGATGTATTGTAACTATACAATATTTGAATAAATAATAATTAACTAATTTGTTGTATATCTTAAAATAAAATTCGATAAACGTTTAAGTATGTGGATTCAAAAATTTAATTTATTCTTCAACATAAATATATATGTAACAAATATAAATAATATTATTTTATTTCTATTTTATTTTATTTATTGGAAGAATATTTATCAGTTATTAAAATCTATTAAAAATATTAATTGATGTTTAATCAGTCAATTATTATAGAAGTTCATACTTTTTTTCATTTCTATAATACTTTATCATTAAAAGTCCTAGACTAAAAAGTTTTTTTATCATAAATTAGAACGACGTTATTGAGTGTAAATACTTATATGATTATACATTTTATGTAGTGACAGGATTACGAGCAAAATGATACATTATGCGTTTTGTGATGTAATAATAATATATACATATACAATTATTAATATTCCAATATTTTAGTAGTAATACCTACATGTATTATAATATAGTATATGTATTATCAGTATACATATTATGTTTAGTAACTTAATATGACTAAAAATTTAAATAGTACTTTTAATCATAGTGCTGTTTTCAGGACTGGCTCAAGGTATAGGCAAGCTAGGCACCTGCCCAGAGCGGCACTTTAGTAGGGGTGGCATTTTCAAAATTGACTCGTACATTATTTTTAATTCTGTCGGTGTTTTATAAGAAAAATATTTAAATTAATTTATTCGTTAAAATCACTTACCTATATAATAAAATAATATTGTTTAAAATTATTTTATTACTTTATATTACGGCTTACGTAGGGCATTTTCAATTATTCCAAAAATAAAAATAACCACACAATCACTTCCACGATTTCCGACAGTCGCGATAGTGATGGGTTTTGAGTAATAATTATATAGATCATTTTTTAGTCATTTTAAGTATAATTTTATATATAAAATAAGAAATTAAAATTGTTTTAATGTAGATATGTCACATAAAAAATAGAGGGAGGGGATAAGTTAGAATAAGAGCTCAATTTTTAAATTTTAGAGGCGGAAATATTTGATTTTGCCTATTGCACTATTTTTGCTTTGGCCGGCTCTAGCTGTTTAATTTTGTATTGAAATAATATGGGCTTGAACGATAGAGTACCTCTTAAAATTGTTTACTTGTACAGTGAAATCTGTGTGACGAGATATTTACATTGAATATTGTCATAAGTTGAATCGAACAAATTCAAATGACATTGATACGTGTTCTTACCCTATAAAATAAGATTTTAATGGGCATTTATTTTTAAGTACGTGCCCATCGCTAATAATATTATTCATTGTGCGCTGTTCAATAAAATGCATTGTTACTAGTAAAGTGCAAATCGAGAATTGAATAATTTTCCATTACAATAATCTTTCATGAACTGTACTGGTATTCACGTCTTGAATGTTAGCATATTCGAGTTTGGCAAATTCTCATGTGAAGTTACATTCCGCGATTCGCTTATTTTCCTAAATGCATAATATATTTATAATATATATATATATATACTACGAGATATCAGTAACTGAGCAATTTATATCTTTAAGATAATTTTTTTATTACAATCAATTTAATCAATTGGTATTAAGAGTATGTGATCGTCGTTCCGCCTAGAAAGTGAAACCATGGTAGGTCAAGTTCAAACCGGTGACTGTGCGTTCAGTAGTCTTATCCTGCTCGAACACAAGGCAAATACGAGTATATTGGTATTTACAAAGGACTGATTATTATTGACCAAAATGGTAAAATATTTTCAATTCACCATTATGAAATATAATATATTGATTAGTTAAAACATGTCTTCATATTTAGCCTAAATTTTCATTAACAAACACAATCAGCTTACAAGGCGAAATATAATATATATATATATGATCATATGACACCTACTAAGTATAAATTATTATATGTATATTTGCTACAATAAAAAAGTATAATAGTACAGATTATTCTGTTACCCTAAAAAATATTAACTATCAATTAGGTCATGTTGTTATTTGACGTACTCGTATACTTATACTAGACATGATAAATCTTCAAAAAGGGTTAAAAATACAATGGATATTAACGTATTGAATAAAAACACAAATTTCATTAAAGTTTTTAAATAATTTATTTTTTTTTCAACAGTTGAATAAATTAAACGTGTTCAGATGAAGTATGAGAGAAGAGAAAAGCTGATTTTCATGAAGAAAATTCAACTCGGTAACAAGTGTGAAAGTTGGAATGAATCGATTGACGATTCATTTTATTAGTATGCCTTGTATGGGGCTGGCTTGTAAGCTGGGGCGGAGTAAGATGGTGCAGAGTAAGCTGGTGCAGAGTATGCTGGTGCAGAGTATGCTGGTGCGGAGTACGCTGGTGCGGAGTAAGCGGGCTTGTAAGCCGGGGCGGAGTAGGACGGTGCGGAGTACGCTGGCTTGTAAGCCGGGGCGGAGTACGGTGCCTTGTATCCTGATCCTTCGATTTTCTTGACGTCAGCGTTGAAACCGTAAGAGTCAGCGGTGTAGTCGACGACGCGGGTGGAACCGTCGGCTTCGACGAGGCTGTAAGATCCCTTGACGTTGCCGTATCCGTCGCTGGATTCTTGTTGGCTGTGGATGTCGTAGGTGTGTGGGTCGTTTACGGCGTATTCGAAGCTGTATGGGGCCGGAGCGTAAGCGGGTTCCGGAGCGTAAGCCTTTGGTGCGGCGTAAGCGGGCGCGGAGTAAGCTGGTTTGTAGGCCGGGGCGGCGTATTGGGCGAGTGTGGTGGCCACGCAGGCGGCGAAAATGATCATCTGAAATAATAATTTTTATCGTCAAAAATCAAAAATACCAACAGTTGAATAAAGTCGATGGACCACTCGGTGATTGTATACGATTCACGAGTTTTTATCTAAAGCGAAATAAAAATAAACAAATACCTTGGCGGCCATTTTAAGAGTGTTGTTTATGATATTCAACTTGATCAAATGAACACGAATAAATAACTGATGATTGTTTTCATCGACCGCAAAGTATTTATACAGATTTACAAACGTAATATTTTCCCTCTTAAATTTCAACACGACCGAATATTAACCATTCATAGTAGACCGGTTGCGGATAATATAGTTCAATATTTCGACCAATGAAGTATAATTATCCAATGTTATTATATTTCTGATATAACTTACAGTATGTTTTGAAAGTAAAAAGTAAAGGTATAATAATTAGTTGCTATACATTCCGACAGACCATGTCGTGCAATACATATTTTATATTTTTACATTTTATAAATAAACTATATTTTTTTAATCATGTTTTGCCAGTTTTATCTTTTGATAAATAAATTAATAATTTTACTAAATTTCACGTTCAAAATAACTTAAATGAATACATAAAATATTATTTATAAAATTATCCTGTTCAATATAATTTCAATACTGTATAGATAATAAATATAAACAAAATAGAATACAAAATTACTACTAAAACAGAATGTATTGTATAGTTTTGTTTTTTGTTTTATTCAGAATGTTTTATTTTATACGAGTGAAAAACGTAATATATATAAATTTTTGGTTGTTTACAACAAAACTTATTCGATCGCTTCAAGTTTATCAAGAAATCAATGTACGCTTATGTATTTAATCATAATATTGTAAAAAATCCATTTATATTTAAATATACATTAAAGTCAGTATACATTAAAATTCAATGTTAAGCGATTATGACATTGGTTTTTATTTGCAACACTCTTATACCGAATCGATATATGAGTAAGGTTTGTTCTGTAGGTTAGTAAAATGTGAACAATAGACAATATGTGTATGAGATAAATTTAATATTTTGCTGAGTTAATTACTATTTATATTCTTAAAACTGTGCAAGTTATAATTCATCTCGTAAATAATAATATTTATCCAGTTTTACGACCTGTATTTTAATGATACATATTTGCTTACAAAGTCATACCGTAATGTTTACGATTATATTCTAGAATTATAAATGAAATATCATTATTATTTTTTTCTCTAGATTCACCAAGTATTTCATTTAATCAAAATTATACAATACCAATGCTATAATTAATTATTTAGACAAATAAACGGTTTTTAATGAGTACTTTCTAAATAACTGTTTAAACTGTAATGCATTTTATTTCATAAACTATACTTGGACCGAGGACGAGGGAGGTACAGTACGATTTAATTATTTTTTTGTTTTGTATTATATTTCTATGTAAAATATTTGTTTTTCTTATCATATAAAAATTAACAGTTGTAAAAAAGTTTATAAAATAATATAATTCATTTCTTATTAATGATAATATATTGGTTATATTGATTTCATTAAATTAACTACGAATAACATTATATTATCTAACCATATACCCAATATAATTATTTAATTTATCTAATGTATTTTATATTTATCGATAACTTGTACATTAATAAATAACAAAACACAATAGGTAAAATAATAAATTAAGAAATCGAAAAAGAAAATAGGGGTTAACCCAGGTGATAGGTTAGTGGTTTATTTTGTAGATAAAATCGTTTGTACACGAGACAATTTTGAATGTGGTTTTCTGGTAGGACGTGATGTGAATACTTGTAAAAGTAAGGAAAATCAATGCGACCAGAAAATTATTAGTAGATAAAAGTAATATTAAAGGAATTTCTGCGGTCAGACTGTAATGGTTTATATATGATCATACTACATACATGTATATTGTAGTAGCGTTAATGATATAAGGTGCTATGAGCTGAAATTATTATTAATATATAAAAATATAGTTTCTATATTACGTAAAAGTTAATATTATTTTATACAGAAATCTATATATTTATGGACTTAGCAATGGTTATTATATACTTACAGAATAAATTTAACTATCATGTACAATAAATACAGTTAAATTTTGTTTTTTTTACTTCACTATAGTCAAATTTGATTTGTATTTTAAGTGCAAATATTTTAAAGTCAGTTTTATATGTTGTAAACCATTAATAAATATTAAATTGAATCTGAAAACGAAACCTATATTTTAAATCGAATAGTTTGTATTCGATTTTATCCTACGTATTATTATGCGCGATAATTGTAACCTACAAAAATGTTTAAAACTTAAAAAAACAAACCTAAGTTTAATATAGTTTGATTTTTATAGTGTATAAAATATGTGTAATCCACATCACACGCGCGACCTTTCTCATACGTTACCTACATAAGTAATGTACTTTTGGAAGATATATTTCTGTAATAAATTATGTAAAATATGTTATCAAGGGTACATATGCAGATTCGTTATAAGATAATACACGACAAAGCAAAATAACATGCCTCTGAGATGAACAATTACAATTTTATTACGGGGAATACTAATGTCATTTGGTTATTATTACTATGATTTGTTTTATTTATTTGTTTTTATCGCTTGTTATAGCATCGTTACAAAATGTTATTCGTACGCGTATGAAGTGTGGGTGCTCACATAACACAATTCGATAACAATAGGTTTTTTTCAACGTGACCGTAATAGTCTGAGGATCATTATTTACACGATTTTCATTGAAGAAAATCGTTTCTCTAAAACATGCAAATTATTATATTGTTTACGTACCTATTATGATGTTTATGCGCTTGTCGCTTGTTTAATCAACTACATTTAAGTGTTCAACAGACGATTACCAATAAAACATTTCCCGATCAGTTCGGTTTTCCCGCGGTGCGTTCTAACGATTATAAAACAACGGTGTTCTGATCGCGCATAACGATATTATTATTATACAGAGTAGTCGTGACCGTTCCATAATTAATATATGCCGGACGGCTGAACACAATATCGCTTTTCCGCAGCAGACACGCGTTTGTGTCATGTCCGTGTCACCGCGATTCAGTTTCATTTCCGACGTCTGTTCAACGAAGAAAAAGCTATATTATGTTTAGCCGCTTGGTATATTTATATGAGGATATACCAAATACGTTGACTTAAGTATTGTGCGAGGGCGGTGGTGCAATAATACGCGAACCGTAGGGCCGAGCACGTAAAACGAAATAAAAAAAATAAAATAATATCACGAATATTATATATTGTACACGAATACATACATATATAGGTTTCTATTACATTATTATGATCGTGGTTTATTTACAATGCAATCAGTGTTACAACAACACGCCATCGTAGGATGATAAAATAATGTGAATATACGACTACTGTGTTTTTGTACACTGGCGTGATCAATAAAAAACATATGTACAGAAATCATGAGATAAATAAAAATATGACTGGTGTATCTGGTGTCAAGGACAGCAAACCAAATTCTGCGGCACCGGGACTCTATAAGGACTAGAACCATTTTCGTCCCTGTTCAATACGGCTTTTACGGTGCTGGTTTGTAGGTGGTTGGCGTGTATGCTGCTCCTTCCTTCTTGACGACGGCGTTGAAACCGTTGTAGTCGTCGGCGGTGTACTCTACGGTACGGGTGGAACCATCCGGCTCGACTAGGCTGTAGAAGCCTTTCACGTTGCCGTTACCATCGCTGGACTCGGCCTGGCTTTTGACATCGTACGTAGACGGATCGTTTACGCTGTACTCAAAGTTGTACGGAGTCGGTGCGGATGCCGGCTCCTGGGCGTAAGTCTTCGAAACGTATACAGGTGCGGGGGCGTAAGCCTTTGCCGTGTACACCGGGGCTGAATAGGCTGCGTACGAAGGAGCCGTAGGGTAGGCAGGTACGACAGAGTAGCTGGCTGGGATTGCGGTGTAGGCAGGGACCGCAGAGTACTGAGCCAGGGTGGACATCACGCAGGTGGCAAAAAATATCGACTGAAATCAAATACGTTAGAAATGTTATTATTAATAACATTACGTTGCGCACGTGGGTTATTATTTTTTACAATAAAGTGGTTACAAGTCGTGGAGGACACAATGACCCGATAATAATATCCTTACGATACGATATTAACATCGAGATAGCTCGACGCATGTTATATAAATATGCTTTCCAATATAATATTCGGCTTGTTTTCTCCCCAGAGTTCGGTTTTTTCATACATCTTTTTTCCTCTCTGGTCCCGTTACAGATCGATAAATAGATCACTCCGTTAACCAACAAACGCGATGCGTTTTACACATGCATCTGGATGGATATAGATTTGATCTTTAATCCAATAGTACAATATACCCATCGAGCAGAATATGCGATTATTAATTATTATTATTCACGTTCGCGAGTATGAATTATATAAGTAATTCATACATACTTAAAATTATTTTAAAAAACAGAGAAATTAACACCAATTACAAAAAACATAGTGTACTTTACCTTAACGAACATCGTGTTGTGTAATTTATTTTCACTAGTGATTTCGGATGTGTACGAACAATTATGAGAACTGTAACTGGCAAATGGTCTCTGATGACTCCGTATTTATGTCGATTGTTTACACGTGGTTTTATCCCTCCAGACTTTTATTTCTACATAATAACGAACCGGTCGTACCATATAGGACTTTTATCATACACACATATTATTTCATAGATATAGTATAAAACTAGGCAATCTTATATAAATGCATTAAATTAAATAAAATACGTGACAGGTATCGAACACAATAGATATGAAAAATTACTGTAGTAATATGTATATATTTAATTCTTAATAATATGCACACCTTAATGCCTGTTAATTTTTAAATAAATAATATTCTTGAATTATATTTGGTAGATTTGTTTACAAATATCACATTTATTTCTAGTAAATATAATATTTTGTAAAAAAAAAATTATATAATGTTTAACTATAAAAAATGTTTTCGTACTTAGAAAACAATTTTCCGTGGATGATACCGTATCGGCTTTCGCTGGACGTTAATGAGTCCGTATCGGCTCCGGGTGGTATTCCTTGCCGACCGTCGAATGGCCGTATTGCGTCCGGTTTCGATAACGAATTTTTTAATAGCTAGTTAATCGCATATATAGTTATATGAAATTAAAAATTACTATCCCCTGGAAATGTGGGTTGATATGTCAGGTTCAGACGATCGCACCACAAACTGCTACGAATCTTTCCACGCAAAATGTAATGCTGAGTTCACGTCTACTCATTCTAATATTTTCAATTTCATGGACATTTTTAAACAGATACAGGCTGACACGTATATAAAGCTCCGCAACACGAATATTAGGAAAAAAGCTAATAACCAGCAAAAGATTTGTAGTGTTATTCAGAAGAAGAAATTACCAGAGCGGAATACGTAAAAAAAGTTTCCTTCAAGTTTAAACCACAAGTTTTTTAATTTTTTACCATACTTAAGTTAAAATTACTTTTAAAACTCAAAAAAAAAAAATTTAAGTCAACACAATTTTTTAAGTCTATTAAACTCTTTTTTTAAAAAAACACTATTTTTATTTTAAACGCCAAAAACATTTTTAACCATGCCTACAGAGAATTTCTTCTCACCGTAGCCAACCCTCAGCCTATAAATGGGAACGAGAATGTTGTTGATTGGGAGCGGATACGTCCATACCACTGGCATCAGATCGGAGCTGACACGGCAACCTTTAATTGAAAGGAGGAAGCCTAAACGGACAAATGAAAGCTGATGCGGATATTTCCTTTTCCGTAGATATGTATTTTTATGAAGTATATCCATCAATATGGATGAGCTTTAACAAAAAAATCAGCGACTTAGACTTTGTTCAGTCATATAAATTTAAAAAATGTTCTTAATAATTTAAAATATTAGAAATTTAAAGAGTCCATAGGCTAATTATATTTAATAATATCTGTCATATAATCAACATGAAATTATAATAATGAAGACTATACAAGGTCGGGAATAATTGAGTGAAAATAAGTTTAATTTGACAATAATTATAGATTTAGTTAAAATGGTTGTGTAAAATTAGTTGCTAAAACATGAATCATATAATTTACTTATTAATACTAAAAATATGTACATAGGTAAAATAGTATTTTTTTTTCCAGCCCATATTTTTAAGGTTTCGTTAAATATTAATTTACATAATAATAAACGAGATAATTTGAAATAACGTATGAATAATTATGAACAATTTAGAATTCTTCAATAAAATATGTAAATAAAAATTCCTATTATTCGCATAAATGACACTAATCCAGGCATGTGTATAGTACATTTCAATTAATAAATATGCTAATAATTTTATACAAAATGTAGTAGTATAAGCTTAATTAATTTGTTGAAAATAATAAAAGAGTAAAAAATCAATACGTCAAAATTGTGGGAAATGTAGTGATTTTAAACTCATTTTGCTAACTATTGAATTATGTTTAAACTTTTATTGAAAAATAATTTTTTCTAAGAAAACAAAAAGTCATCAAATAATTGATGAGGATAAAAATAATATTATTGAAGCTTTATTGTGTTTTTGGGAAAATCGATTTGAAAAAAAAAAAATATAACCACGCCAACTTTTCCGATTATAAATTACATAACTCAATCACTAGTTACTCAATTATACATCATAATAAGTTGTAAAACGTACATTATATGCCGTGTTTAAGTCGTAAATCTTGATTTGTGGTTTCGTATTGAAAAGAAATTTCGTTTCAATTTTTGATTTATAGCAGATCAACATATTGGTAAAATGTGAATATTTTTATAATATTTTGTCGTTGCCGCTGCGTTTAAAAGAGTGCGGACTGTTTTGCGGGCGAAATGAAATGTTGTCAGTACACTGTGTGTATGTTACACCTCCGTTTGTTTTATGGAGCAGTTCACGCCCCGCGATTGTCACTCGGGGCAATATTTCTTTGCGCGTGTGTTAATTGAATTTTAAAAGCACTAAGAGTACCACCCAATGCGGCAGCAAAAGCGTTATTCGTGTTATGATAAAACAGACAAAAAATCAAAGCGTAATGAGTTTTCAAGCCGGTCGTTATGATATTTAATATATTCGTAGTACGATAAGGTATCGACTACGATCGATAATGTAGTATTACGGTGACATATTACTATAGTTTACGCCCTACATAATATACCGGTTATGCGTCAATCATATTTTACCGTTACTTTTTTTTTTTTTTTTAGGAAAAAATAAACAAATAAATGAAATAAAATAGAAAATATAACAACATTTCGACGATCCGGCGGCAGAACGAACAATATAACAATAATTGTGCGTACGTCCTAAGCGCGTGCTCGAATGAATGCAACGAGTGCATTCGTACGGATTCGCCATTGTGCAATTTTAACAGTACGCGAACGAATATCGAATGCTACAATAAACATTGGGCAATATTGTCGCGGGTTTTGTTCGTAAACGGGTGGGCGATCCGACGTCGCAGGTAGGCCGCAGGTTTCTACGTCGTAAACGGGTAGGTGGTTGAAAAACATATAGCCGGTGTCATACTGACGGGCTCGTGAAAATACTCGAGCTGGGTCCGCGCTGCGCCGTGTCGTGTAATGTTACCGTACCGAGTACTTTTTAAAATTGGTCATATCAATGTATACCACGAACGCGTTTCTTTATTAGCTATGCATTTCAAATCTTGGTCGCGTGTTACATAATTTTACCTATTGAAATCCGTTCAAACGCTGAACGAAAACAACTTTGCCGTAATGTGTGGTCACTCCTGTGACGTACGATGAATGCCGTTAATACAGTACGGTATAACCTAAACGTGACTCCGTAACAGGGCCGTTGAAAGGGAGAACCAATAGACGCCGCCGACGCCCCGGGCGTGATTCCTGAGAGGTCGCAAAAACGAAAAATTCGCATTTTACGTTAAAAATTGCAACGACCAGTGTTGTATGTTTTATTAACAAAAAACTTTCATCGTCCTTTTATCGTATTCATCGAAACAATCGTTGGAAATGTACACTAATAAGGTCGTATTTTGAATTTTTGCCCCGGGCACAAATTTGGTTCCCACGGTACTACTCATTAGTTCAGCCGATCGAATGTAATAATTATATACGTATACGAACCCGTAAGCCGTACTGCCGGCGATACGTTGATGGGCTCGCAAAAACACTCGGTAAACGTAAATGTAAAGCAATCGAACACGGCCGTCGACCGTCAACTGCTGTTGCCAACCCTCTCCGAGTCAAACCGTATCGTTCGGACGCGAAGACCGGATCAGATCGGAAAAGCTATACTAGCCACCGTTTGCGCGTTCCGCGTCCGACACCGTTTCGGTTTCATCCACGAGCCTTTCAGGGTTGGAAACAGCGAACGGAAAGACATCTCTGGACCCCCCGGTACAAATATTAATTGCTCTTGACCGACGAGTGACTGGTCTGTGAGCTGTTCAGTCGCGAAGAGAATTTCGGACGCATGTTAAAAACCATGGCTTAACGGAAAAATACAAGTACAATAATGATTTTTTTAAAAAAAATTAAAAATTAATGCAACAATACAACAAATTGGTAGATAACTTTCTGGTTACAATATCGAAACTCAAATCACGTTACCGATTCGACACGCGAATATAATATAAACGCATCACATAATCAATCGTATGTTAAAACCCCTATCCTAATTTCATATCTCGCCAACAACAGTTATTCCGAAATGTTATAAGTATAGATATTTTAGTTATAATAGTAAATTAATAAATATCAGTTTGTTTAAAATCCAATCAGCTGATGATATAATACAATCGATTGATGCTACTTTACGGTTAATAAACGGTTTAAAAAAAAAAACATATTTTAAAACCGATTTGGGTTTATGGGTCTCTACTAATGATTCTTAAGCTGAATAAACTAGTATTCATATATGGTATGCTTAAATTCAACATGACTTCATTTTCATCCAAATAAATCAAATCTTATTGTACTTGCTGATAGTAAATAACATTCACTTTCAAGCCACACTATCTATAAAATAATATTTGATTTTGAAGGTGTAGCACATTATTTTTTTAATAGAGCCTTTAGATCATTATTATTTTTTACATTTTTACGGTTTTCAAAGTATTTTTAAACACGATTTTCTTAAATTTCATATTTTGCTTATGAATTTGAATATTTAATTTGACAAGTTATTTATTGTTGTATATACGTAAGTTTTTGAAAACTTAACAAGAGCGGATAAAATTTTACAACGAACTAAAATTTATCGTTGGATTAATAAATATAGTTAAACCATAAAGCTAATTATTCATTCTTATTGCTTTCGCAAACATTACATTTTATTAAATTCATAGAGGCAACTAAGATAGAAAATGTAGAGTAATATAGGATTTTACTCTTTAACATCGATTCCCTTTAGTCTATACCAGGAGTGGTCAATGAACGACTTGCCTTGAATAATTTTGCAGCACATGAGTTTATTACGTTTTTATAAAATATATTTACTTTTGTGCAAAAATGTCCTATATCGCGATTTTACGTTTTTATTTTTTTAATGAAAATGTTATATTTTCTTCGAAAATAAAATTCATCAAACACGAATCACGCTCGAACATAAAATATGAAAACCTGCAAAATACGAATATTACAATGTGCATACACAAATGTATGCATTGTCGAAAATTTGCAAAAGTATATTCATTGTTTTAAATTTTAACACAAAAATTGATTTTTATCGGTTCCAATCGTACATGAGAACGTATACACAAATATGTATGTGACCATTGAGATTGTAGTGCATTCCTAAAGCGGTCTACAAGATCATTCGGGAGCGTTGAATGCGTAAGATATAAATAAATAATACGAATTACGACATTATTCATTATGGTACTTTGATTATGATACCGTGTTACGTACGCTTATTGAGCACGGTTTTAAATTACATTGCTCGTAACAATAATATACTTAACTTCAACAAGTTGTTTGTTTTTGTAGTGACCAATCGACCAGCTTTAACGAGTACAAAAAACATTTAAGTATTAGCGTTTTAAATACCGTTGTATACGCATAACGTCAGACTGTTTCAACAAACACCAATGCTGCGATTGATTACGTTTTTAAACACGGTAAACATTTTGGTCAACAACGGTACGTCCAAGCGGTAGAGCGAACACAACGTCACTATACGTTATTGTGTTTGTTCGGATCGTGTTCGGGATCGAGACGAACTGTGGATCGTACTGCTGTCGAAACGGTACAAAGGACCGGGTAGGCACGACACAAGATCAATGAAAACAACGTCACGTTCAATAAATATAAATCGATATATATTTACACAATAAATACATTAGCCGTACCCATTGTCTTATATATACATATGGCAATAACGTATGACTTTGCGACCGTGGGGGTTCAATATGAACGCCACGCGGTGCCGAGGTACACGAAGAGAAGTGGATAGAAATGGTGACGAAGAGAAGAGCGTTGTGGTGGTGGTATTGAAATCGGAGCTAAGCTAGTTAGTAGGCTGGCTTGTAAGCTGGCTTGTAGGCCGGTGCTGAGTAAGCCGGTGCTGGGTAAGCCGGTGCTGCGTATGCGGGTGCGGAGTAAGCGGGTTTGTAGGCCGGGGCGGAGTAAGATGGAGCGGAGTATGCTGGCTTGTAGGCCGGGGCGGCGTATCCACCTTCCTTCTTGACGACGGCGTTGAAACCGTTGTAGTCGTCGGCGGTGTACTCAACGGTACGGGTGGAACCGTCGGGTTCGACCAGGCTGTAAGATCCCTTGACGTAACCGTTGCCGTCGCTGTACTCCTGTTGGCTCTTGACGTCGTAGGTGTACGGGTCGTTTACGGAGTATTCGAAGTTGTACGGGGCCGGTGCGTAAGCGGGTTCCGGAGCGTAGGCCTTTGGTGCGGCGTAAGCGGGCGCGGAGTAAGCTGGTTTGTAGGCCGGGGCGGCGTATTGGGAGAGGGCGGTGGCCACGCAGGCGGCGACGATGATCAACTGAAAATGATAAAAAAAAAAAAAACGGTTTTAGTGATATTAACTAAAGTGATAGTACTATCAGTAGATACTACAGTGATAGTAACTCGTTACGATATCATTGATCATTATCGCTGTTGTGTTGGAAAAAATAAAAAAAAATCCTAGGGGGTGGTGCGCGCGATACGTATCGTTCTTAACGGTCGACCACGGTGTCGAAGCAGGAACGTCTCGTTACGTGTTTTCGTCTTGAGCTCTACGTTCGATACGTACGACGAAACGTTCGTCCCATTATTACTACCACTGTTTATCTATTTCTTCGTAAAACGATAAACTTTCGACGAGAACACGACATACACGAGAATAAAATGTTGTCCGCGCTGAACGGTAATCTAACAGAGTGGAAATGTTGAAAAAATACTGGTAAACTTAAAAAAAAAAAAAATTCTCTCCGGACAGTGCGCATCGCTGTAATAATAAAAGGTTCTCTTACCTTGGCGGCCATTTTTGCGAGTGTGTTTCTGGTGAGATACTGGACACTGGAGTAAACGGAATGGACTGAGTAACGTTCGGACGGCGCCGGCCGTATTTATGCGAAAACTTTTGGGGGTTATCAATTGAGATTAATCCCCCCCGCGGTGTGCACACGCCGTACGTGGGTGTGCGAAAATACTAATACGGCGTAAAAGAATGAATGATGAAGGAAAAAAAAAAAATAAATATAACAAGAGCAAACAAACACGCACGCGCACAGTGGCGTACGCGAAAGAACCTTCACCTGGTAAACTGGTCCAACGCATTCGAAAACCACTCCCAAACAACAGGTTTTTCATACAATATTCGTATCTATATATAGGTCGAGTGCGCGTGAATTACTACTGCGCGTAAGCCGTACACGCTGCGTCGCCGTTGTCACCGCGATTTCATTTGTTTCGATGCACGTGTTGTTTCCAACCCCAATTATTACGTGCGACACGCCGCGGATCGCCCCGGGGAGACGTTTCACGGGCGCTCGCCGCGCCGCTCGCTAATATTGTGCGCATAATGATGTTGTTTACGGTCCGAAAAGCAACAACGCAACGCAACGGATCGCGGCTAAACAACGCGCGCGCCTTGTAATTAAGAATGTAAATATGGACGAAAGGTTAAGGAATAAAATCGCTACTGCGTGTCCTTATAAACCGGCCGTAATTAATAATGACGAGGGAACGGATTTATATGTAATAAAAATACAGAAATATGTACATATGTATGTAAGTATAATTTATAAAATATGTGCTAAAACATCCAAATATGTAGGAAAAAAATTTAATAAAAAAAAAAAAAAATTATAATTATTAAATTATCAAAATCATTTGTTGCATTGAATTATTACAATATCTTTTAAATTATCAAGTATTAAATGTCGCCTATTAGATCTGAAAATATTTTTAAAGCGGCAAGATTATCGTTCCACATCAACCTACATCGGTTGATTAAAGCATATTTGAAGCGCATAATAATAATTCCAAATTTTTAGAAGGGTTTCTGCCACTCATTATGTCATTGATTGATATAAAATCAATATAGCCTGGAATTTTTTTCTGTAATAGCATGAATTTTCTTTTTTACGTCGTCTCCTATTGGTTCGCTTATGAGTTTTCATTTTGCAATCGTTGATTCGACAATTTGTTTACTTTCATTTAAGGACATATATTTGTTTCTAATTTTGTAAATGTATCTGCAATAAAACTAAAATTCATTGATATGAAAATTAAATTAGTTTTCAATGTTTCATTTTGCATAATATTTTGAGCTTTTCAAATAGCGATAAAAGTTACTGTATCTAAATTTGAAATAATTTCTTGTACTTTTGTACGAAGATGACGTATAAATGATGAAATGATAAAATATGTTTAAAAATATTTACAAATTAGTGAAATATGTAAAAATATGTAAAATAAAAGTAGCATCATATTAATAGGAATGATTTAAATCATGAACATTTCTTATCGAATCTTAAATATCTCGTTTTAATAAAAATATGTATTTACATATAAATCCGTTTCCTTTATTATTAATGACGAAACCGACGTCGGTACGATACGCGTACCAACGGATAACGTATGGCGTTACGATTTGGGGCGCGGATGTTTTTGCGTTTACAACTTTTCTTTAACTTCACCGATTTATTTCCAAGCAAGTTACGAGTACGATGCGTGTGTCGGTAGGAACCGTAATCTAAACCTATGAATCGCAATTTTTCGCAATTTTCGGAATTTTTTCGTTTTAATTGCAATTCTGTTGACTTTATCCATTTTCAGATGAATTTTTCAATTACTTTTGGTTGGAAGCATATGATTCATTGTTGTATTAATATTATTGTATTTTTAATCGTCACGATAGTTTGATTATTTTTAAAATCGTATAGGTCGTGTCCTACTGGGATTATTGGATTTGTCGTATTTACAATCTATATACATGAGATTTTCTTTAACACGTTTAAGATAATTTGTGAAACGTGATTATTTGACAGACTGCTCTTCAGTCAGTCCGAGACTTTTATGTGATCATGTTTTTTTATTTTTCTGAAATATTTTGAAAATCAAACAGTTTTTCCACTATTTTTTTTTTCAAAAAAAAATGGAAGTTTGAACACAAAAAAAAATACCCTTTTAGTGCGATGTTCTATATTTTTTCGAGTAAAATATTTTTTATATTGCTTAGAGTTTAAACATTTTGTAGTATTTCGTAAAAAAAAATCAAGTTTTACGAATTATAACGAAATGTTATTTTTTTTTGTACAGTTTTTAATTTTTTAAGCGCAATATTTGGTATTTTTTAGTGGAATACTGCAATAAATTTTACTAATTTTTGATTATTACAAAATGCAGCCCTAGTTATGATATACGTGTGCGGTACGCATTGTATTTCTTCAATTTCTAATCAACTCGATCATAAACCAACCAGCATGATAATTAATATCCCGTGGTAATAGTAATACTGTTCTCGTTATCCAAACGACACCACGGTACGATCGAATTACAACAATCGTTAGAAAACGTAATATAATTCAACAGTCGGTGGCAACGTCGCCTTCACAGATCTCCCGAATGCGTGTATCGATATTACGACACATTATATTAATTTATTAATTATCGTTATTGTTTTAATTCGCCGCAATTAATTACACACAATTGTGCATATTAAACGACAATCCTCTTGTGCACTGAATTGTTTACTGAAGAGAAAGTAAAGTAGGTACCTATCGTAGTTTATTATAATAATAATATTGTACCGTAATAATTATTATTCATTTGTTTGCTCATCAAAATATTATGGTAAAATTTGTTACTATCATTTTTTCATTATTATTATTATTTTCTTTTTTTATATAGTAACAAGCACACACGTAGACTTATATAACTCGTGGACATATTGTTATGGAAATTTCGACGTACCATATTATCATTTATTATTAGTAAATAATATAAACAAAATATTTTCAAACCTACGTACGCCCACCACTTTCCCCGTAATTATGTATTACGGTTATTTCATTACAAATGTTCTTTTATCATTTGCTCCTGTTTTAGATTTACAAACTGTGTCTTGAAGAATACCTGCGCTGTAGTTTTGCGTAAAAGCAATATGAACACATGTCAACATCATTCTGATCTTAATTTTTACGTTATCGCGCAATATAATTTTTGTATTTGAAAAAATTGTTCACTGTCATTCATAAAATACGGAGTAATGTATGTGACAGAACATACTCGTAATGAAGCAAAACAATATTTTCCTAGTTTAAAATAACAATATTGTAATTGCTAAATATGACAGTTATCACTCATGATAATTTGATAATAATTTAATAATTGATTTGTATACTAAACCGTTACTTGTAATAATAACCATGCTACGATAAAAACAAAAACAAAAAAAACGGGATTTTAATAATTATATAAGTTATTGATACTAATCAAACTGATACTAAACTGTAGATTAATAGATTTATTTATTGATCAATAATAGTTCAAAACTTTTTTGAAATAAATAACGACGGTACGCTTTAATATAATCTAACGACAAAAAATTCGTTTAACAACAGAGGAAAAAACCATTTTGTTATCACAGAATGTGCATTGAACATAAATAAATATTATACATGGATTCCGTTAGCCATGAAATTAATAATTAGTTGCATAAATATTTTTGCTAACAGTTAATCGAAACATATTTTATTATACTGATACTGTTTGTTATTTTTGTGTCGTCTGAAATATGTATACTGTACAATACAAATAATTTCTACCATACCTACACCACAATAGTAAATGTTATACGAAATTCAAATATCTTTTATGTTTATTTAAAAATAAGGAGTCAGAGTCGAATCGATAAAATGAGTATTTACTTGAGTAGGTATTTTTACGTGATAATAACACATCACACTATGCATATTGTTTTAACACCATTATAGTTAACCCAATGATTTGACTAGAATTAAAGAAGAAATTAATGTTTCACTGATATATTATTTTTTTATTCACTACATTAGTATTTGTAACGGTCTTGGAATAACGATTATGAATGTAATGCTTATTAAGAATGACATTAATTCAATATTTTTCAGTTTTATTAACTAATAAATTATGTACAAAATATAAAGTGCTGTATACGTGTGTTGCAATCGATTCGCTTAGACACGTTTCACTAGTTCTGCATACACCTAATTAAGTCTTAAAAGCAAGAAAATAATAATTACTATAATTATTTAATTTACATTATTAAATGCGTTATGTTTATTTTTATTGATTACATTGCCATGTAGTGTTTGTAATATGTGATAAAATATAAAATTTGTCGTGAATAATTTATTTCTATATTAAAATAATAAAAAAAAAAAAAATCAGTATACATGAATATTAAAAAAATCGATAATAATAAAATATGGTTTGTATAGCAATGAACTACTAAGATCTCAGCATATACCTAGTAGAAATTACGGTAATGGTGGTAAACAATAAGGAGGTATAGGATGTAATAAAAAAATGGTGGTAAACAATAAGGAAGTAATGAATGTAATATAAAAACGGGGTGAAACTTCTCCGTTAGGTGAGATAAAAGGACGGATGATTAATATTGTTGCATTGCCGTATTGGTCTAATGAAAATAAATAACAATAGTTCATATCATCATCTACCGAATTGATAGATAAGGGAAATTACTCGTGGCACAGCCGTACGTTGGGTTTACTAATGCAGACGCACCAATAAAGACAAATAATATAATATAATATAGTTTTTCAAAATGAATATGTATAATAAAAATTCACTCCGAGAAAGTTATTTGAATACAATGACTGCGAACTAAAAACGATGAACATTTTCAATAGAATGAATTAAAATGTGTTTAAATAATACACAATTCAATATATTTTATTCACTATATTAAATATTTCTTAAATAACGCATGTTGTAAATTATTTATGCGTATAGAGTTGAAATAAAAAAAGTAATCAACACTTGTAAATGAGTCATCCACGGGTACTCATACGTACAAATAAAATTCGATGTAACATTTTAAAAATCACATACATTCACAAATATATATATATAAT